TCATAAGACACAAACATAAATTCATCACCATCTTGTTAATGCGGCGCTGACGAAGTATAGGCTCAAACACAAAATTGGAACACATCCAATATCTCTGCCTATATGTGTCCTCTTCATCGGACTTGGCTACCTTGCAAGGATCGACACAAAAGCATATGGGCACTAGAACACCACTAGGCAGAGGCAATGGGTTGAAGGCATTTCTGGTCATCCGGCCATAACTACAATTTAGCTATTTTCGTTCTAAGAACCGAAAGCAATTAACATTAAACCCAAAACCTAGGGTTTCCCATTTGATGCACAATAATGAACCCATAACATAACAACATGTGCTAAGGTTATCTTGGTTTGCTAGCTTTTTTCACGCCTTGACATCCTACGGTTGTATAATACAAATATTAAAAATTACATGAAACCCTAAGTAGTGACGATTCTTAGGTTGAAAAATCATACTAATATATACCGAATTGATGCGAAAAAACTAGGAGGAGAGTGAGGATACCTTGCTCTCGAAGATCTACGGATCAAATCAAAGTTTCCTAGGTCCAATATATCGATTCGTGAGATAGGGCGAAATGGGGAGAGAAAAAACCCGAGAGAGATGAGAAAGAAGAGTAAGAAGGCTCGGGTAGGAAGGTTGGGGCGCAGGTTAAAACACCACCTCGGCGCCAGGATCTATGGCGCCGAGCTTGGCGCCAAGATCTACGGTGCCGAGCTGCCTGCCATGTTACCGCCACGTCTGCGTCGAGCCCAAGAGCTCGGCGCCAGCAACGATGGCACCGAGACGTGTAACGCTGACGCCGAGCTATGGGTCCATATTTTAAAATCTTATCTTAGGAGGAGCATATTTGTGATTTTTTTTAAAAAAAGAGCTAAAAATAAAAAAAATTCAACGACCAGGAGCAGGAGGCTTTTTGCATAGTGTTTTCTTTTGTTTTATTTAATTTTGGAACGGGCACACGACGGAGCAACACAGTGGTCAACAAAGATAGCGCACGAGCCCGGCCGTTTCTTTGACTCGCTCACTGGACTACTAAATCAAGAACTTGACACATGCTGTCTCAGCGCTTGATAGTGGGCCCAATCAGCAAGATACATGCGCTACAAGTCTACGGTCTGTTCGTTTTGGCTGGATTGCTCGTATCTGGCTTATAATTTATGACTTAAATAATATTTTTCTCTCACACCAAACCAGCCAGCAAAACTTTCAACCATGGCTTATAAGTCAATGCAGCCAAAACAAACAGGCTGCTAATCCCACTCAAACTTTGCCGCAGACCATAGTTCTGTACTTGGTTGAGCTTTTTTAAAAAAAAACTTTGCTTAAGCACTAAGCATAGAGAACCATACCAACGGTGGCGAAACTAAACCAGATTTGAGGAGGTGCACTTACCTTTATACATTTGTGGTAGGGGTGCATTTATGATAAACTTTTACCCAAATCAACTATTTTTGCAATTTTTACGGGGTCCATTTGCGCCCCTAAGAATAACATAGCTTCGCCATTACATACAAAAAGGGTCGTACAAGAAGAAAATAGGATATACGTGAAAGATGAAAGAAAACGGGGGTTGGTGATGTCATAAGTAGCCTGTCAAGCTTAGAACACACTGGCATGAATTCATCCCGATGTGTTTCCGTTGAACGAGCGTTCGACGACAGACGTGCTAGTCTGTCAAAATTGACTAAAACAAGTTGAAACCGTTTAGGATCGGCTTCAAAACTAGCTAACAACATCACCGGTCTGTCTAAAATTTACTCTCTTAATCATTATTTAATGAGTCATTTGAGTAAAAAACATTTTCTATAACTTTATACCCTCGAATAACTTTTCTATAAATTATGCCCACTCTAGAGAGCCATCCTTGCTCTCTATCTTTGACTAGCGAGAAATCTAAATAGAGGATGTCTATATTTGGCGATTTAATTAAAGAGTTTATTAGAGTGTATTTTTTCCACCAAAATCTCTATTTTTATAAATTATGAGGATATAGAGAGTCTCTTGGAGTTATTGTGAGCCAAGTTTTATAGAGGCGTTGGAATGACCGCCTAGTTTTTTCTAGCTTTCTACAAAGAAACATTTTTATGCTAATTTCACAAAGTGATTATCTGAAAAGATAATGTTTTCTATTTTTTCAAGCGTTATATTTTTAAAGTGTGAGGTTGTGATCTTTGCTAAGTTGTTGTCGCTCGAGAGGCTGTAAAGTAAGCGTCCGTTTTGTATAACCCTAGCTCTAAGATCTATAATGGACCTATAGTTTATAAACTAAATTAAAGCGGTTTAATATTTATATTTACTCTAAAATATAAACGCGATGAGTAGTGTAAATCCACTAGACATGCTTACAACGTTAGTTATGAGATTTTCGAGGGCTATATATACTTGGCTTCATGAAATCCATAGATTTGAGCATTGTTGGTAAGACTTAAACAATCCCATACTACACGGAGAGAACTTTTGACAATGCATATTTCAGGTACGTACGTTACAAAATGGCTGTCCGAAAAGGCTGGTAATCTGAAGTTTTGTTATAGAAAACAGTAATAGTAGAGGGGCACACACGAGTTCGCACCGCGGCAGGGAAAAAACGTCACGTCGCACAGCAAAGTCCACGCCGCAGCGCCGCGCACCCGCGGTCGGCGGAGGATCGGAGGGGCCCGCAGGCGCGGACCCCACCCCAAGTCCCCAACCCACGCCTGCGGTCAGCGGAACCCAGCCTGCCGTGCAGCTGACGTCTGGATCCCGGGAGTCCGCTGTCCCCACCCGTCAGACGGATAGGGCTCCAGGGCATCCGACGCGGAGCGTGTGCGCGTGTAGCACTGTAGCGGCGGAGATATTTTTTCGGTGCCTGCCTGTCTGCTGTGCCTTTTGCAGTATGGCCCCTCGGAGTCCACGGTATTACTCTACCAACCGTCAGGGGCAACGGCAACGGTTGATTATTTTGTACCGTGCACTGTGCCGTGGGGATTTTTTTATTCGTGCACGAAATTTGACGTGACGACTAACGAGACGATGACGCAGTTTTGATCAGCTGGGATTTTTTTTTCTCCGTACCTTTATCTTCTGCGTTGATAAGGCCTGTTTAAACACATAGCCTAAAGTTTGGTGTTGTATTGAGTGTTCGAATATTAATAAAAAAATAAATTATAGAATCCGTTAGTAATCCGCGAGATAAATTTATTAAGCTTAATTAATCCGTCGTTAGCGCATGTGTTAATGTAGCACCACATTGTCAAATCATAGACTAATTAGGTTTAAAAGATTCATCTCACAAACTAATCACAAACTATGCAATTAGTTATTTTTTTAATATATATTTAATACTTCATTTATTTGTCAAATATTCGATGGGACAAGTAAACTTGAGGGAGTAACTAAACCAAGGTCTAAGTCTTGATGACGTGACGTCTTCTAGTAGCACTACAGTACACAGTAGTCGGCTACTAGTAGGACTCTAGGAGCACTGTACAAACCTTTTCCAGACCCCGAACTTCCAAAGGGTTTGGCGTGGACATGGCTGAACCGCTGATCAAGTCAAGAACGAGCCAGGATAACGGCCACCAACCGCCCCTCGCTACACCCTGGTCTACAGCACTTGCAACTACCGCACGGTGTGGTGCATAGTATTTCTTTCACACATACCTACCGTTTTCCAAAATGTAAATTCCTACTGGACATTAAGGAACACGAAATCCATATATATATATAAACTTTTTTTATTTATGTATTACCGTACGATCTGATTGTGGACATAGTTTTCCTATGATTTTCTTGCTGTATTCTTCAATGAGCAACTTATGAAGTCCCAACTTTAACCTAGAACATCCGTTATGGGGCAATGACACCACTATATATATATATATATATATATATATTTAAAAAATTACAAGTAGGTATAGAGCATGTTCGTTTGAACTTATCAAGCCGGTTTATCAGTTATAATCTACAATATTTTTTTTTACATAGTAAAACAGCTTCAGCCGACTTAGCTTCAGCCGACTTTTCAATCGACTTTAATACCAGCCGACCCGCATCCTTTTAAATTCGAGACCTATTAACCTGTGTCGGTTCTGTCGCGCTCTGAAATCCATATATACCCACAGATTTGTTTTTCTTTTTCCTCGAACAAACAAATACGCTCGGATTTCAACAGCGTCATCTGCCAGCGCGGTCTCATCATCATCTTCCTCCTCCTGACCTGCCCGTCACGAACTCCTCGAGAACGAAACAAGACGAGGGCCTTGATTATAGTTGGGAATCGGTATTTGATATTATAGTATTTTTAATTTTATTTAATAATTATTGTCTAATTATATTTTAATTAGGCTTAAAAGATTCCGTCTCGTAATTTATAATCAAACTGTGTAATTAATTATTTTTTTATCTACATTTAATGCTTTATATATGTGTCTAAAAGATTTAATATGATGAAAAGAGTAAAAAAACTTAGAATCTAGGCGGAGACCTTTTCTATTCCGCTTCCTCCTCCCTTTTTCCCGTTTATTTATTTTTCTTTTTTTTTCTCTCTCTCCTAAAATAATATACTTCGCTTCCTCCCTCTCTCTCCTCCCCCTTCCTTCCCCTATCCGCCTCCGCCGCCCTCCTCATTCCTCAACGCGGCGACGACCGCCGCCTCCCGCACGTCTATCCTAGCCCGGCGCCTCCTCCTCCTCCGACTCCCGCGTCCCCCCGCCCGTAACCGGAGACCGGAGGTCAACGGAGACCGCCGGCGCGGGCGCCGACGGCCGCAACGCAGCAGACATTCGCGGCCACGCGGGTCCCGGAGGTTCGTGTCTCTTATAATTTTCTGTTGATGAGGGTTGGGCGGTGCCGTTTGCTCGCGGAATCCTGATTGAGTTTCCTGTCCGTGCTCTCGAATTCTAGGGTTTTGGAGGCCTGGCTTCGGCGGCATGATCGGGTGCGGAGGCGGCGGGGGGGAGGGGTGAGCGGGCATTGGATGTTCTCGATCCGTACGGGTCCCTGCTGACCTCCTGCCGCAATGGAGGAGCCTGGCTCGGGCGTGCGCGGCGGGGAGGAGGGTCATATTGCTGACGCCCAACGCTTGGGGCCGGCGGAGGTTGCTCTGTCTACTGCCACCGCCCCTGGACCGGTCCATGGATTGGGGGATGGCACAGTAGAGGTATGCTGCGCTCCGGAAGCTAGATTGTCCACAGAGACAGATGACGAAGGGAGCGATTTTGCTCTTGGATTGGTGACTCCTGTTGAGTGTGCTTCTTCCTCCCATCAAGGAAGAAAGTTTCAGATAGGACAGGAGGAGGGTTCGAGTTCAGAGCAGAGGGTCATGGGCATGGGGGAAGGGAAGGAAAGTAGTTTGGCTCCCGCGGCATCTGCTGAAAATGCCAGTTTGCAGATTTGTCATGAGGCCAATGGCAGGCTTTCAAATAAGACGTTACCTTCTCCTTTCCGTGAAGCGGTCTGTTCCGAGGATGCTAGATGCGCGTATGACATTTTGGAGAAAACGACAGAGGGGAGCCAGTTTGAGCAGGTGGGTTTGACGGGTAACGGAGGTGATTGTGGCGTCATGGTGGGGGTAGTAAAGGAAACCATAGAAGATTTGCGGACTGTTTGTAACGGAGCAAAACATGTTTATGAAGGCTTGTCAGTTTCAATGAATCATGGCCGCGAGCAAGAGCCACGTGATGTTGATGGCATAGGATCTATCATGTGTGCTAACGATGAGCTGCAGCCAGATGGTTTGATATCGGACATTCAAGCTGTCTCAAAGCCAGCTCTTGAAGATTCAGTTCCTTCCATTTCAGGGAGCATTGATCTTTCTTTGGATCGAAAGGCAGGTCAGTTTGGTGGAATATCTGCTGATCCAGGGACGTGCCATGGGGCTGACAGAGGGATGTGGAATGGTGATTTAGCCCATGACAATGGGGACTTGTCGGACCCATGGAAGCATCACTCGGAGAAATTGCCATCTGGTGCTGAGGGCCTGACATTGATAACCGGTGCTAATTATGAGCTGGAAAAGGTTGGTTTCCTGCCAAATATTGATGCAGTAAACTTCTGCCCAGTTGTTGAAACTTCAGTTCCTTCTATTTATGGGAGCTCCATTGATGTGCCTTTAGATGGTCAGGCTGTTGAGCTCCAGATGGAGGCTTATGGTGATGGCAATCAGCATTTTGGCCATTGTCCTGATAAAGAGTTGCAACAGGTCTCTCTAAAATATGGGGCCTCTGAGCTACCTCCAGAGAGAAACCAGTGTGTTTATTCGTATAACCAACTTTGCAATGATGAACCTTGTTGTAGCAGCAAGGAACCATCTGCTCTATGCCTGGGTCATCAAGATGCTGTTGGCGGGTCTGACCATTTGGACCAAGGGCTCAATGCCTGTAATTCTGCTGAAGACAGCTCTGTTGATTTTATCAGTAATGCTAATGATGGAGAATCACAGAGCCAAAAGCTGACAGCATTACAGGTATTCATACGTAGGAATCCAAAAAGAGCTGCTTCTTCAAGAAGTCTTAATTCTGAGAAGCAAGATCGAATAGGCAAAGGGAGCAGTGGCTCACGCAAACCTAAAAAGGTTGACATTATGAGCTCATTACACCAAAGCACCGTGGATATGTTCCCAAACAAAGTCACTAAGGGAAGAAGTGGTATGAACAGGCCACCAAAATCCTCTACTTGGGGCAATCTAGAACAGCTATTAGATTGCTGTCCAAGATATGGGCCATCTACTTCTAATGCTCATCCAATTTGCCTGGACAAAGGAATATCATATAACAGATCTGATCAGAGAAGTCAGCCAAGTATTCGGAGAAGTCGAAGTTCAAGATCTTCAAAAAGTAAATGCTCTTCCTTCTCTGAAATATGGCATGCAGCTAATGAACTGGATGGGCAACCAACCTTAACAACTGTGGCTGATATAGGGCATGCTGCTAGTGAATTGAATGAGCAACCAACCTTCTCAATTGTGGCTGATACTGATATTTCCTTGGAATGTCACAGAGGAAACATTCCAAATTTGTCTTCTGATAAATCAATTAATATTCTTGATAGTACTGGCAAAACTACAGAGTCTATTGATAGTCATCGTACAGAATCAAAGTGTATCCAGACTGATGTGCAGCAAAGAGAAAGAGCCTTGGTGAGTTGTACTAAAGAAACATGCACTGCATACGTCCATGGAGAGTGCGCTAAGCTTTCAACTTCTGAACCTATGGACAATGCCAATGGCAGTGTCATGCTGCATATTGGGTTTTCGCCGGATTCTGTTTTGGAGGTTGCTTCTGTTACATGTGAAGGTAATGCTTCTGCAAGCCATGATGTTATGTTACATGAAAACCCAACCGATGCTGGTGCACTGAATGGTGGTGATCCATCCGTTTTATCTACTTCTGACTCTGCAAAAGAACATGCTTCATCATTGATGAACTTGGAGCAGCATGCTAGAAGTACTTTGCATGAGGACACCAGAAAGGAAGAGGTTGGTCCATCTCATGGCACAGTAGAAAATGATATTGATGAAGGAAAGGTGCGAGCTTTACAGAAGTCAAATTCCGTGAGAAAAAACGGTATTGTCAGAAAGGCAGGTTGCAAAAAGAAAGATGGATCTAAAGGGGTAAAAAAGAATGTTATAGGATGCAACAAAGTTTCTTCATGTGAATCTTCAAAACTTAGGCCGTTCTCTAATGATCCAATTTCACCTGGGCCTCCAGATGATGGGTCTTGCTTTGAAGCCCTAACTTCAGGCTCACAGGACCTTAGTCTGCATGAACATGATGGCATACAGAGTCACTCTGTAGTGCATGGTGACAAAGGGAGTGCATTTGACAGTATGAAATCACCAAGACGCAAGATAAAGGATACTAATGCAAGAAAGAAGGGTAAGGTGCGAGACCCACATAAGAAAGAAAAAGGTAAAAAGAAAAATACATCAGGTGAGACTTCCCTTGATCATGGACTTTTACATTTGCCTTCTACTGAACGGGCAGCACCTCATATGAATGAACAGAGTATGTCTTTGAATTTATCATTTATTCCTTTTCCATAACATATAGCAGGCAGCTTCAGAAGGAATTTACATTCTCATTTTACGTAGGTAATCTTGATCCTACCTCCGAACTTGCATTCAAGAACTCTGGCGCTATATCTACTGATTTACCTGGACATGTTGCATGCAAAATGGATAGGGCATCTGTACCACCACTGCCACCATGTGCTGCATGGGTGTGTTGTGATGATTGCCAAAAGTGGCGGTGCATACCTGCTGAACTTGCAGATGTGATTGGAGAAACAAATTGCAGATGGTATTAATTTTCCTTCCTGTTATTTCAGTTATCAGTTTAAATGATCGCACCAGCCTGCTTGTCTAATTGAGATGTACTGTACTGCTATGCTCTTCAGTAGGTCTGTATGGTCTGTCTTAGAAACCCTCTTTTTCCTCATTTAATATAACTATTCCTAGCAACGTGGGTCGCTACATTGTTTTCTCAGTTTTGTAAAGCGGACATGCTGATTTAACCTTTATACAGTTCTAGAGAAGGTATTTCAAGTTTTGTTAACCTTCATTGTCTTGGTAACATCTTTGTAGCTTGCTTTTTTTGCAAATTGTTGTTCCACAAAGGTTCTACCATTCTTCCTGAATTATTCATATATTGTTCCAAGTGGGCTTTCCAATTTGTACTTGTAGTAGGTTCTACCCCAGTTTTCGAACAGAAATTTCCATCTCTACCATAAAACCTGATCCAATGACAGCTATACCATTTTATGTTCCTGGTTTCTTTAGGGCACTCCCAATGCATAGTTTCTATAGGCAGTTTCTTAAGGAAAGAGAGTTCAAATTAGACCTAACCTTCCCAATGCATGGTTTCTATGGAGAAGAAAATTTAATGAACAGTTACATACACCACAAACAGAAAAGGATCAGCCGTGGCAAGCAGCCATATATCCTTTCTTGCTGCCACAAACAGAAAAGGATCAGCGCGGGGCGGCCTCCTTCACACGCGCAGGCTCAGGGGATCGGAGCAGCAGCACGCAGGTCGCGGTCTCGCGGGAGCGTTGGAGTAGCGGATCTAGACTAAGAGGATAGGAACGAGCAGCCTCCGCCCAACACAGCTTTGATGGTTTCTTCATGCATTGATGTGCGTGAGGACTCAGTTTTCTTCTGTAGAAATCGTTTCTCCATTTTTTCCTCTCTCATCAATAAATCACTTGCCACATCAGCAAAATGATTACATAACAAGGTAATTAATAGACATAGAAACTATGCTGGTTTCTGCATTGGGAGTGCCCTTAAAGTTTCAGATGGATTAATCCAAATAAACACAGCAGGATTCTAGCTGGTAGTTAAGGAAAATAATAGGCTGATTGAGGTACTAATTCTCTGCATTAACTAGGAGGCTATCACAGCCATATTTGTAGGCTCTCGGTACTGTGTTTGTGTGTTTCTTTTAGTGTGAGTGAGTTCTAGGTGACCTGTGTCTTTGTCCTTTCAATTTTAATATAAACTTGGTCGAAGTTAGAGAAATTTGACGTTGGATAAATCTAAAACGACCTACATTTTGGATTGGAGAGAGTTTCAAATATTGGTGGTTGTTTATTTTGTACACATCTGGTAAAGCAAAAGAACTAGGATTTGCTGATGGGTAGCCCTTTGTACATGTCTTGTTGTCTGGTAAAGTGAAAGAACTAGAATATGTTGATTGATGGAATAGCCCAACCTCAACTTGCATGCATCATCCATTTCTTGACTAGTGTGTATGATACACTGTGTTTCTTCATCATCTATGCTCTTCCTTTTGCTGCCACACCCTATATATCATCTCTTTACAAACCACATCTTCAGACTTACACCTGAGATGCTTAATTCCACTGTAGATTTGCACTTATCTTTTAGAGCAAGAGAAACTACTCATATAAGATATAGCAACAAGTGTATTCAAGGGTTGAAACCTCACAATCTAATGTGTTATTACCACTTATGCAAATCTCTATTTTAGATCTTCCATAAGTTCCTCCTATTCTTGTCTCTTGATTCCATTCACTAGTCATCATTTTACTTTAATGTGTATGTGTTATACACTTTTTTCTTTTACATTTTTTTGGTTCATCTGTCGAATGTTTTATGCTTCTTAATTCTTATTCATCGTTTTTTCTTACTATGAAGGACTTGTAAGGACAATGGAGACAAGGCGTTCGCTGACTGTTCTATTCCACAAGTGAAAACAAACGCCGAGATTAATGCAGAACTCGATCTTTCAGATGCTTCAGCTGATGAAGCAGACAATGGTGAATCTAACTCAAAAGGTTTTGAACCCTTGCATCCTTCTATTTTCTTCATTACCATTTTTTGTTCAATATAATGTAAAACAATCCGATTATGTGTTATCATTTCTGATTCTTTTACTCCCTTTTTGCATCTTGCTGTTGAGTAGCTTGCAAACCACCATCATGGACTCTTGTTAGGTCAAACTTGTTTCTGCATCGAAACCGCAGGACACAATCCATTGACGAGGTCAGTGCTGCCAACAAATTTTTCCCTCTGGTTTGACTTATGTTTCAGCTAGTTTTCTCTATGCACATGTAGATCCGTTAATTATAGACCTTGCAAATTTGTAAGGACATTTAGTTCAAAAGGTCGCTATAGATTCGCGGTCATATCTCCGTTTGCAGGCTAGGTAAGGAAAAGTTAGTCAAAAGGTGCATAAAACAAGAATATTTATACTGTAGGCACTCTGAATCAGGGATATGTGTGGCACACACTTTTTTATGGTTATTAAGGTGTCACTTAAGCATTGGAGCAGTCTAGGGTCACCACAGAGGCAAGGACGCAAGGTAAAGCTTAGTCGCCTTAGGCATATGTGGTCACCCCCTTGATTCTGCCGTCTCCCCCTCAGTTTTGCTTCTGGCCCACTCAACTTTGATTCTGGCCCGCTTGATTTTGCCATCTCCCGCTTGTCAATCCCTTGATTTGGAAGGGGATGTTAGCGGCGGTCGATCTGAGGGGTGCATACTTGTTTGGTAAGGGAAGGGAAGCAGCAGAGAGGAGAGAGGGAAGCACGAGCGAGAGGGACAAAGGTGCAACGGCGCACTGGAGAACGGGAGAGAGGAGCGGCTGTGCTGAAGACAAGAGAGGGAGCAGTGGCGCTGGAGAGAGGGGATTGGGACTTTGTATGCCAGGAGGGTAGGGGCACATGTGCTGCCTGGTGGGGTGGGCTAGCCCACTTCTTACTCCTTTCTTTTTCTTTTTTTCCATCTTCCACGGCTCTATCCTGCTATTTTGCATTTTCCTTCGAATGCAAGGTATTGCCTCCCTCACGCCATAGCCACTTAAGCGTAAGGCTAGGGCAGTAGTCAGTCGCCATGCCTCGCCTTACCACCCTGATAACTATGCTCTTTTTAGCTGCAAGAATGTCTTCAATCATCCAACCATGCAACCACTAGAAAATCCTACTATTCTTCCTGTGGTCCATGTTAAATCAAACTATCGTGAACTATTGTACAAAAATATATTGATTCTTTGTTATACTCCTTGTGACTCAAGTACTTGCTGACATTTTGAAGGATAACCTAATTTGCTGCGTTTCTAATTAATTATGACCAGAGCATGGTGTGCAACTGCAAGCCGCCCCAAGATGGCCGAATGGGTTGTAGAGATGGCTGTTTGAACAGGATGCTCAACATTGAATGTGCCAAGCGTACATGTCCGTGTGGAGAACAATGTTCTAATCAGAAGGTCACTGCTTCTTGGTTATCCTTAATTTAGTTAATTTATTCTCTGCTACATTGATTTTGACTGTAAAATTTGTGAAACAGTTTCAGCGACGTAGCTATGCAAAACTGAGATGGTTCCATTCTGGGAAGAAAGGCTATGGACTGCAGTTGCAAGAAGACGTTACTGAAGGAAGGTTTCTTATTGAATATGTTGGAGAGGTGCTGTTGTCGTCCGTTATTTCCCGTGTTTGTGTCCTTGTACATAACCTGTTATTATGTTAGTGCGATGATTGTTGATTATATGATATGACTAATGAGCTCTTTTGACTCTGTACTGAATGATTTCTTTCAGGTCCTTGACATAACATCCTATGAATCCCGCCAAAGATATTATGCTTCAAAAGGCCAGAAACATTTCTATTTTATGGCTCTAAATGGTGGCGAGGTATGCCTTTTGGTTTTTATATTTTGTCCATAAACTATTTCTTATCTTCTTCAGATTTGTGGAGTCCTAAGTCGAGATATCAATGTGAGGAGAGGTAGAGGAAGACCGAAGCTGACATGGGGGGAGGCAATAAAAAGAGATTTAAAGGGTTGGGATATACCTAGAGATCTTTGTTTGGATAGGAGTGCTTAGAAAGCAGCTATTGACGTGCCTGAACCATGACTAGGGGCTCATGTTGGGTTTCAACTCTAGCCTACCCCAACTTGCTTGGGACTAAAAGGTTTTGTTGTTGTTGTACATGTCCTCCATTTTTTACTGCAAGTTCTTTTGTCTGAAAGTTGTACTCAGTGAAGAACTATCCGATCACCTCCTTTTATTCCCCTTCCGTCCTCATCTAGTGTATTATGTTGACTTTGTGTCGTACTCACTTTTCTTAATACACCCATCATGATGTTGACACAATTGAATACATTCCATTGAACTTTTAACCATTTTTTTGGTTTCAATTCTTCCAGGTAATAGATGCTTGCACTAAGGGAAACTTGGGCCGATTCATCAATCATAGCTGCAGCCCTAACTGCCGCACAGAGAAGGTTGACTTTTATCTCTTTCATTTTTGTGTGTATTGTCTACTATGTTTATTGCCATTAAATCCTTATCCATCAAAATATATTCGGTTCTCTTGATATAATGATCTATAGTTGTGCTCTCACTCAGAGTTTGCTAAATTATGTTCCTTATTTTTTTTATAGTGGATGGTCAATGGAGAAGTCTGCATTGGAATATTTGCTTTGAGGAACATCAAGAAGGTAAGGCTAGAAACTATCAGATTCTTACAAACTGGACATTTTATCCCCATATGATCTAGTTCATCTAACAGAAAGAGTGAGGGTTGGTTTGCTTCATTTATAATTGAAGTTGAATCAGTGAATAACCTCAGTGAATTATATTATGCATGCCATATGATACTGGTCAACTGTCAGCGTGTAACGGGTATGTTTTGTTCTTATAATATATAGGGTGAAGAATTGACATTTGATTACAATTATGTTCGTGTATCTGGTGCTGCTCCTCAAAAATGCTTCTGTGGTACTGCCAAATGTCGGGGTTACCTTGGTGGAGACGTATCAATTGTTGATACCATCATCACCCAAGACGATACAGAAGCAGATCATTTTGAACAAATGGTTGTTGACAAAGATTCTGAGTTGCTGGGTCCAAATGGGTCTGATTCTGATGGTAGCCACCCAAATATTTCAGAAACTGAATTTTCTATTCAAGGGGAAGATCTACATGATTCCTCAGCTGCAAAAGTAGAGTTAGACCTGCTTGAGGAAACTAGAGGAACCCCATTTGAAACTAGTGAGCCTGAACATTCCTTGGAAGCATGGAGCCCACCAGAAGATGAAGATGTCAATCGCACACCTGTGCATGTGTCACGAACATTTGAAAGTTCTGTGCAGACGTTCCCAGTACATGACACTCAGTCATCAGATCTTTTGCGAAATACTGCAAACTCAACGGAAGGATCAAAGGCTCCAAATATAATAAATGGATCGACTCTTAGTTCTGATTTCAGGGGCAATCTGGTGCCTACTTTCAGTGCTACCGAGAGAAAAAACTTAAAACAACATAAAAATCAGAAACCACAACCATCATCTCCAATTGACAATGAGCACATTTTGGGAGGTACTATTCTGCCTCATGCTTTCCTCTTCCTACTTTGAAATGTGATAGTCTTAGTGATCTCTCCTTGGTATATGTAGTTGAAGGGAGACTGAACAACCTACTGGATGTGGACGGTGGTATCAGCAAGCGAAAGGTATGAAACCATCATTATCCCCTTAATTGTACATAATATAGAGTACCAGGTTTGCACACAAGATCCTTTTGCAAAAGTTTTGTCGATGATTCTAATTATGATGCTATCTCCGTATGCTGGACACAAATCGTTCCAATTGGGTCTGATACTATGTTATGAAAGTTTGGAAGGCACATGGCTTTAGAAGATTATAAGACTTTGATTCATCGTGAGTTATCATTCTACATTTCTATGTTCTAACTAGTCAATGTATCTTCTGGACCAGGATGCTACAAATGGATACTTGAAGCTTCTCCTTGTGACTGCAGCAGAAGGTGGCAATGCTGGGGGCACATCCAAAAGGTTTGATCACCAGATGAATTGTGATCCAAGGTTTCCTCTCCTAAAATATGCTAATTTCTTTCTATCTGTTTCAGTATGAGGGATCTTTCATTGATTCTTGAGGCACTTCTAAAAACAAAATCACATTCGGTTCTGTTGGATATCATCAATAAGAATGGTAATATTTCCTAGCATTCCTTCAACTCCCTATATGAAAGTGCTTCAGTCACCAACTAAGAACCTTTTTGTTCTATTTTGTTGCAGGACTGCAAATGCTTCATAATATATTGAAGCAGAATAGATACATCTTCCACCGGACACCTATTACACGGAAGCTTCTGAAGGTCTGCACTTCATTCTCTAATAAAATGTTATCAGCTACCATAATATTCACATCCTGTATTATTTCCAGTTGACATCTTATTAGTTTCACATTACTCTCTCTAGTCACAAAAAAGTGTCATTTTGGACAGCGACATGGTCTCTAAAGTATAAATTAACGCAAAATATAGTGAAGCTTTCAATTTTGTCAAAGTTTAATCATGTTGACTAATGGAACCCTAAATGCATTCTTTATTGGAGGTAATACATCATAATCAGGGTTGTGTCACCTGAACCTGGTGTTAGTGTGTATGATATTGGCATCTTCCTTCAGGTACTTGAGTTTCTAGCTCAGAAAGGAATTTTGACATCTGAACATATAAATGGAGGTCCTCCATGTGCTGGAGTTGAAAGGTTAGATTATTTAAACTTGTTTATTCCAGTGTTATTTGGTACCGATTGAAGAGTTTCATATTCAGTTTGTTTTATAGGGACCGTTAATTTTTTGTGTTTTATTTATTTGTAATGCCATTTTGACCTGAACTAGCATGGGGTTTTCTCTAAGTGAAATGAAATCCTTATCTCAGAACAAATGACATTCTTGCTTGTTACTTTGTGGTTCCTTAACTTCTAATTTATTCTCTTGCTATGCAATAGGAGGACAGTTTTTAAACTGTCACTGTTTACTAAACTAAGCCTTGGTCAGTGCAGTAATAGTGCATGACAGTTTAACGTGGATCTAGAGATAGCTCCTACCTTTGTTCCTTGAAGTTTTAATCACAATTCACTTTTTCTATAACTTCATCTGGAACTTGTACTGCAGCTTCAGAGACTCGATGCTGAGTTTAACAAGACATCACGACGTTCAGGTAATGGACATACCATGCTAATGCAGTCTTTCAGCTTTATGTTTTGGAAATATGTGCATAGTTACTTATTTGCTAGATTTCAAACGCAAAGGTTATGCATGGAGTTAGGCTTCCACGCATTTGACCACCGAAATGGCCACTACACTTGTGGCAAAGCTAGTTAAAGCACGACTGTTTATGGTCTGTACACTGACCATGTGAGAGTCTTGATCGCCAAAACTTGTTGCAATAGACTAAAGTATTAAGTACGAAAGTGGCAAAAACACAACCTTGACTACAAACTATTATGTTTGCAAAGTGAGTTGTGGTAAAGTTAGGTTGCACCTGGAAACTTAATATCCACTTATTAATTTGGAAAACACCTGTAGAATGATAGCACAAATCACATGGATGCATTTTGGATTAATGTTGTGGATCTGTGCTGCTATATTTCTTCTTCGTTGAGTTGCAAATGGCGCAGTTTTGTTTTCACTTATATTCTGGATACATGGATGTTTAGTATTACTTTTTGGTAGTTTTATTTTATTTTTTAGACCAATTTATCATGGAAAAACAGGCAAAACTTTTGATAGTTTCGAAAGGAAAGTATATCACTATAAGCGGGGCATGTACAACAGAACTACCATACTTGCATGTGCAGTCAAATTTAAACCTCAACATGCTTTTGTGTTCCTATATAAACCACTTCCACAACCAGTAATTACATACCAAGCACTGCTTTTCCATGAAGCGGCATGTGTCTATGATTTTGCAGTTTTGACCCTCTCAGAAATTGTCTGGGAACTGCTGGTGACTTCTCATGTCTGTTTTTTCTTTGTACTATTAGTTTTCTAATGAAAGTTTCATGTGATTTTTATCTGTATGCATGCAATCCTTAACACGTGAATCAATCTGTCAAGCCTAAAATACTCTTTCCTCCATGTGACAGGTTCATCAGATTGCTCGGAGCTTCCGTGATAGATGGATCCCCCGTGATACATCCACATTTGTGCATGATGTCCAGGGGACTAATACAGTCTGGAGTTCTGCTAGGAGGAAACGCAAGAGCCGTTGGGACTATCAACCTGACGAGCATTATAAGATGGGGGGACTAAAAATCCAAAAAGTTTGTTCTGGCTTTATGAGAAATAAGCTGCAGAGGAATCAGGGCTCAAACAACTATTGTGATGATGTTCTTGGCATGGGGAGTTCAACACAGGGTGCAGATGATGAAGTCCCTCCTGGGTTTGAGTCCCAGCTGGAGTATCGGCCTGCACAACTTTCCATAGGCAGCGAGGTTGCTCCAGGACTTTGCATGGAGAGGTACCAACCTAGCTTGAGTATTTCATATGGGGTTCCTGTCACTCTTGTTCAGCACTTTGGAACCCCTGAATCTGAAGGAGGCCAATGCCATCAAAAATGGAAAGTTGCACCTGGCGTGCCTTTTAGTCCTTTTCCACCATTGCCTCCCTATCCACGAGGGAGTCCTTGCCCCTCCACTTCGTCATCCCAGATGTTTCAGCATGATGGAACACCCCAAGTTAAACATAACAGTTCTGGACAATGCGGAAGGATCATGGGCCGAGATGGGAGAGTGCATAGGTCATGGCGAAATGGGCCAAGATCAAAATGGCCATACCATCATCAAGGAAGGAAATTTTCGAGCACTCATCATAGATTTGAAAGATTCGAACCTCCAAAACCTCAATAGTGATTAAGGGTTCAGGGCAGTGATTGGGCCCAGCCCTGCAGTTTTTGAACCTCAAGTAGTGGTGGCATACATGGTAATTCCTGCTCGAGAAGTGTAACAGAAACTGTGTCAGCCTTTAACTATGTTTAAAGAGTGTAACTTTCAGTTCATTGGGGGTAGAACAGATGCTGCACATAGGTCATTGCCAGTGCAGTGTTACTAATTAATTTGGTCATTTTTTTCTCTCCCAATGGGTATTCTTAATAGGAACATTTTATGATTTGATTTAATCCTTTTTACAGGTGATAAGGCTAACCAATTTTATCGACAATCCTCTGTAGTCTCGTTTCCTTAATTACGTTTTCTCCCCCCTTTGCTTTCTCCGTAAAGCTTCTATTTTTGGTGCAGTGTTCATGTGTTTGTTTCCTTTGCTGTTTCATTTTATTTCCACTCCAATAGGTAAGTAGGCTGTCTGGAGATCTTGTACATGAGTAGCCTTTTGAATCTGTTCAATTTCTTGGAGTTTTCCTAATTTCTAGTCCTCTTGCTGCTTCTACATTACGATGGCTCTTGGACTTAAAATCTTATGATATAGCTGAAGGTGATTCCTAATCATTCCCCTCTTCTACTGAACGGGCACACGCATGAACTGACACATTGCTACAGGACTTGACAGGTAAGTTGTCCTGAATCCAAATCTGAGCACATTTTCCTTGAATGTCTCATTATATAAGTTGTCTCGTGCAATTCTGGAGCATGATTTGCTAGCGTTATGCGTTGATATCTGACCGAATTTGCTAATGTCTCGTGTTTTCTTGTTGGAATTTGAAAAGGCTATGTCCTTAGTGTCATTTTGTTATCCCGAATTTGCTAATGTCTCGTGTTTTTTTGTTGAAATTTGAAACAGCTACTTCGAAGAACTTAGACAGTTGGACCTGGCGTATATGGTTGGTTTTGGAAATGTTGAGAGCCTGACACCTTCCTCGTTTTGAAACTTGGAAATGGTGAGATTTAGTTTATTTGGCATCTGGGTGCCCCATGTCTGTATACCGTGACCACTCTTTTCTTTTTCTTTTTCTTTTTTTTTTTGGCGCGGGGTCAGCTTGTTAGGTTATGTGTTGTCGAGACTGTGGCCATGTTTTTTCTTGCTATATATATTTCTGGTTTAATTTTGGCTATGAAATGGCTGATGCGAGGCTTGGCTACTCAGCAACATGCGACAACGCAGACGTGGTAGCAGAGTCCTGTCCTAGAAGGCTAGAAGCATGTTTGTTATAATACTTTAGATCAAAAGTGCTCGACATTGATTTGACAGTCCTCTATGCTTATCTTTTATCACTAATTTCTTGTCAAATACTTACGCGGTCGTCTATGCTTATCTTTCATCACTAATTTCTTGTGAAATACTTACGCGGTCTTCTATGCCTATCTTTCATTATTACTCATTTCCTTTAAAATACTTCGCCCTGCCGTCTCTCTACGAGTGCAATTCTAGGTCTCTTCAAAGTCAAACCTTTTTAAGTTTCCTAAGTTTATAGAAAATAATATTAATGATTATGGTTCTAAAAAGGTATACCATAAAAACATATTACATTATATATCTAATAATATTTATTGATATCATAAATATTATTTTAAAATTTGATAAAATGAAAGTGGATTAACTAGGCTTGCACTTTTCCTGGGATGGATAGACTATGTTCTTAAAATCCTTGAGAATTAAGTGATTTTGCAAGTATTTTGAATACACTTGCATATCAGCATATAGCTTGTAATTGTTACTTATGTTTGTCACTTTTGAGATCGTAACAAAATCTTGTCCCAACGGCATATTTTTGGGACAGAGGTAGTATCAAGAATTGTTTCCTCTAGTAAGAGCATCTTCAAGAGCTCCCTAAATAACTTCATATTTTTTGCAAAAAAGAAAAGCAGCCCTAGATTAATTTGTATATGAATTCATTAAAGATAATTAAGCACTTGGTAAATCTATATACCGATAAATGTAAATATGTATATGAGAATTTTCTATTTGACACCATAAAAAGTATTGCTTTCTTATTTGACACCCAAACTCAAATTCTTTCTGTACCTGTCTCAAGTTTTTCTTTACTATTTAACACCTCAGTCAGTTCTGTGAGGAAACATCGTACATGGTGGCCTGGCATGGAGAGGAAACGGGAAAAGAGATTGAGTTTGTCTCACCTTTTTTCCAGGTGTTGAGGGAGGATCTTTTTTCTCTAAGTGAGAAACAAAAAATAGGAAAGGGGATTTGTTAGGCCCTGTTCGTTTTGTTGAAATTTGACTTATGCTGATGCTTATGTTGATTTGTTGTGAGAGAAAAGCATAATTCGTTTGCTAAAAAGTATTACCCTCAGTTCTTTTATGCATGAATATTGGAAAATGAGTCTTTTTTTTAATCTGGTGGAGTTGCTCTTGCACCAATCCAACTTATTAGCATGATCATGCGCCGCACACACAGACTCATGGAAAAGAATGAGTGCCTAACAACTAACAAAGTTTTTTTTAATACCTTTCTTGACATGTTGATTTCAAATAAAAAAAGAGTACCATACACATGTAAAGGAGTGCATGCAGTATATTGCATTTTCATCGAGGGTGTGTTTGGTTCTCCACATATCGGCCTACATTTGGACGCATGTGTAGATTCCCAAAGAAAAGGATGTTAGATTCCTTGCACGTGTTGTGTGAGTGCTCTGCAGGTGTAACTTGTAAGATATAGTTGCATCCCGCATCAGCTCATGCAGCTAAATTGACCTTCACTATCGAGCTAGACCCACTAGATGCCGATGTGTTTGTGTGGGCCCGCATGCCATAGTAGACTGCATTCGCTCATGCATGTAACCAGATAATCTTAGTTTTTTCTACATCCGTTCATGCAATCTGACCTGAAATATGGTTTCACTTAGCCCGCATCCCCTGGATATATGATGATATATGATGCGACCTCTAGCCACAAACCAAACACACCCTTTGTTTATTTGGAATGCGAATTTTTTTCTGTGAAAATGAATCGATTCTTGTAAAATTTTTGCACGGTTCCAATTAAATTTCTATATTCCAAAAGGGTGATACTTTCAAAAAGACAGGACCAAAACTTGTTTGACGATCATATTAGCTTTCCACTTTCACAGAGCGTTGGAAGCTATAACCGTTCATGAATCTACTCGACGTCACAAATAGCTGAGTCATTCTGTATAACATGTGAACCACATCAGTGATCATGCTGGTGGGCAGCATAGGGGTCCAGATATGTACACTTGGATTTTTTTTTTTTGACAAATGTACACTTGGAAGTTGGAGCTGACAGGCAGCTATAACGTCTTCCCATTCTACATTACTTCCAAGATATCTCATGCACATAACTACACACTCATCTTGAAACAGCCAATATAGGCAGAGTAGTACAATAATGGTTCTAGTTTACCCATGCCTACATATACTTTGTTTGCTAAAAAATATTGAACATGTACTTTTTCGCTGCGTAATATTGTTGGACTTTTCTGAACTCTGTGAGAGGAGGATAAATATTTCCAAAGGCAATGTATGTCTCATCTCTTACTCTCACAAAAAAATGAGGATAGACAAATGCATGGAAAAAAATTACTTCCCTCCGGTATATCAAGAACAATCATGCCTGATATAATACAGAAATCAGTAGAACAATCTTTGGTTGCTTCATTCCATTGATTAAGCCAGGAAACAACTCTGGTTCATACTGAGAGGGAAAGGTAAGGAAAACATTGGTGTTAGAATATAGCCAAGGCAAATCAAGAGATAAGGATGGAAGGTAAACATTGGTTTCAGAACATAGCCAGAGAAAATCAACAAGAAAAGATAGAGAGATGGAATTTGATCTGAACCCTCAATTTTAGATCTAAGGGCCAAGAAATTAAGTGATGGTTGCCCTTAAAATAATTAGTTGTTCCCTCAAAGTGCTCGGCCTGTACTTCTATAGCCAAGGCTGCAGCTGCTTGATTTGAACCGTGCTTGGCGTGCAGCGCTGCTACAGCAAGCACTACCGATGACAACCAGAATCGTTTTTACAAACAAACCTGATTATCTCTGTGATCATACTTGACCAAGTGCAGAATTTACCTGTTAACGCTCGTTACATATGTGTACGGAAACAAGGTAATATACATGTATTTAATTTTAGGGGAAAAACATACAGAGCAGCATCAACTTCAAAACTATCTCAGCCCCAGCCCACACACACACAATCTGGAACAAATAGGGATTTCACTGGATTTACACGGGGATCAAATCAAAATGTTCCATGCAATATATATTCCCATGAAATCCTTGTGGAATTCCTATGTTCCAGACTGGCTGCCGCACAATGCAGCTTATATAGTTATATATGAGGCAGATTCTTCAACAGAAAACAAGGTAGGAAAAAGGTTGCATTTTCTTGTTCTTGTCAACATAAATATAAACACATCTCGCGGGCTAAGATCACTATCACCTGGACTTGGCTTTCTTGGAGCAGAACATGGCCCCAACCAATTGCAATGAGATCCCGCTCTTGTGCTTCTTGGTCCTGCTGGCACTGGCAGCCTTGTTCTTGTTCTTGCTCTTCTTCTTCACCTTCCTCTCCTTCCTGTCGCCCTGGTCATCCTCCACCATCTTGATGGCCAGCGCCTCCGACAGGCTGGGCAGGTACTCGAGGCTCGCCACCCACTCCTCCGCCCGGCTCTCGTCCCACCGGTCGCTGCGGACGCGGCCATGGCCACCACTGTCCTCATCCCCAACGACGACGGCCACCTCCTTGCCCTTGCTGAGGCTGGAGTAAGACGGCCAGGCCCTTGCTGAACTGCACGCTGAGGCTGGACACGGCCACCTCCATCTGGGCCTGCCTCTGCCTCAGCTCCACCACCTCACCCTTGGCCTCCGCCAGGTCCTCCTCCAGCTTCTTCAGGCACTCCAGCATCACGGACGATGGTGAGGCTGCCGCTGGGGGCGCGCTGCTCTCGTTCGAGCTGCTGCCGTTGCCACCGGCGTGCCGCCGCTCGCCAAACACCTCCACTGCCTCCCGGACCGACTGGAACGGCCGGGAGGTGTCCACCTCGGCTCGGCTCGCGGCCGTCGCCTCTGTCACTATGGGTGTAGTGTAGTAGCACTGCAACTGCAAAAGAGTGCGTGGAACGCGATGCAAATGCAATGCAGCATTGTGATGGCGAAGGGCGGTGAAGTAGACATCGTTCCAGGCCTGTCTTGGCTTCTACTTCAAACACCCACCGGAGGAGTTGCAGCAGCAGAATGCAGCAGCAGGCCTTGTGTCGAGGTCAAGTAAAAAACGACGGCCGGTGGAGGGGAAGAAGAGGACTTGCCACCAAAGGCACAAGGAGCTTTTATAAGTGCAGGCTGGACAAGTTGATGGAGCACACACAGAGCTGACAAGGAACAGTAAAAAGTACATACACAGCAAGTATGCAAGGAAAAGTCTGTTTCTTTCTTTCTAGACAACAACCACTCTTGCGATGCTTCAGCAGGACTTCAAGAAAACATAAAAGGTCAAGGACAGGCTAAAGAAATTAGTTTGTGACCGCTTGCAGGAAACATCTGATAGTGCATCAGGACGAAAGCACAAAAGGTTAATGCATAATATGCATCCAGGTCAGCTTAGCGCTGCAGCTTATATAATTCAAGATCGGGTCTGTTTGCACGGCTGAAACTGTTATACGCCAGAAAACTTCAGGTGATGAATTGACAGGGTAACTGATTTGCCCTATACAGATAGGCAGTTTGAGTCTGAATATTTTAAGTGAGATGTAGGAAGAGCTATCTCAGTTTAAACCCAAAGGAACAAGGATATAGAACAAACTTCATGTTAGAAGAAGAATAGCCATAGCTGGTAAAAATTTTGCCTCAAAAAAATAGCTGGTGCAAATGTCAAGGACTCAAAAGTATGTAATATGAACAAATCATAATAGACTGATATGTGCTGAAGGCGTGTCACTTGGTTTTTACAAATGAATTCTACCAAAGGCCATGAACCAAAAGTAGGAGAGGAGGAAACAAAAACTTGTTACAAAATGGAAGAAAACTTATTACAAAGGGCAAGTACCGTGCCAAAAAATGCAACACTTCATGTAAACCAATGTGTGTCGACAAGTGAAACCTAGGTCGCTTGACGAGCAAATGGTCATCTTGCATCCATCAATGATCAATGGCGTGACTTGTGAAACCTAGGTCGGTTAGTGAACGTGCGACCATTGGCTCTAACAAAATGTGTGATGCCAATACAAAGACCAGCCCACATAAGTGACAGCAACAAATGGCGAACATCATTCCGGGCTGCAAAATTGATGTAGCAGTCAGCTGTGAACATCAACTAACAAATTCCATCAGCCTGTATAGTCGACTTAGTTAACATACTTAAAATAGTCAAAATCAAGGATGCATATAACAAAGCCAAAAAAATCTCATATTTGTCCTTAGAACGGTGATGCAATCTAATTTCACTCTCAAACTTCCAAATTGATTTCTTAACATCCTCCAAATCACTGTTGCAAGGCAGACTTCATGGCTATTGTGGTCTGGTCTCTAGCAAACACATCATTAATTTTGTCATGCTGCCCGGCACATCAACTTGACCACACAGGTGCACGCGCACAAATACACACACACACACACACACTAAGTTGAGTCATGGCACAACTCTTCACTGACCCAAGAAAAAGATAAGGGAAGGAATAAACATTTGTGCAAGTGGAATTCGTTGTTTTTTTATTTACTCAATGCACAATATTCTTTATTTGCCCAAACAAAATATCAAGGCAGCATATTTAGTGGTAAAGTTGTTTTCCAAAGGATGAGACTAAATGCAAGATTTTTAAGAAATTGTTCCTTTATTTAATCCGTGTATGTTGGATAGAAAAACAGAGAGCAAATGTTGCTGCCTGCCAAATTGCAGGGGAGAATTAATCAGCATAAATTTATAGCAGAACACCCCCAAATGTCTGTTTCAGAAGATTCAGAAGTCTTACCTTGTCTTAGTGACATCATCATGAACATTAGAGCTCCCATAACCAATGCAAAAGCAAGGCGGAAGGACTGCGAAAGAAAAAACTGCACAGGTTAGTCTACAATGTGATAGCTCCATACATAAAATGCAACTTCAAGCTATAGCTAATTGTACCCACCGCATAACTCTCCAGAAGTCCTGCTTTGTTTGGCACTGCCATGTCTCGACTAACAGATGTCATGTAATGTCCTTGAAGAAGATCCATGGCATCCTGTGTAAGGTAATAAATAAATAGTGAGGCACTGCCTATATAGCACACAAGTCAGATATTTCAACGAAAGGTAAACTGGAACTTAGAAGAAAGAGAGTTGAGCCTCGTATGAAGTCAGTTAGACTAGATGGAGACATTAGCGACAGGTTTTATAGAGGATGCATTAATCATAATTGGCATATAGTCCTCTTACACTAGTGAAAATCCTTACCACTCAATTAAATCATACAACGTCATGTAAGCTGCCATTTTCATCATAAATTTTTCAGCACTTTCTTGCTTAGGCTTACCCCCAATTCAAGAATCGCACTGGTACTAATATATGATTAACATAATATAGTACTAGGCTAAGTTATGGAAATGCGACATTTGGGGCACCATAAAAAAAAAAGAACTGTTTACCTGCTTAGTCCCATCAACAAAGTTATTAAAGTAGTATCTACCAAGTGAATTCCTCAAATCGTTCAGAATTCCTTGAGTAGTTCGCTTCCCATACCTAATAGACAAAAACAAATTCAAACTATGGACAAAGTATCCTAGAAATAGAATAAAAAATATTCCACATTTGTCTTCATTTTAAAGCACCCAACTACAAACAAAATGAATATAAATTAACTAGCAGTAATCTAGAGACTGACAAACAAAAGTACACTACTTAATATGCACTTGGTCAGCCAAATTATTAATGTGGACATGTGGAACCATCTTGTGCCCTGTTGCACTGAAATTTACTGGTTAGACAGAGACTTTTCGCCAGATGATTAATAAAACTTTACAGTAGCCCATTATCTGGGTGATACAGGTATAGAGATCATTGTAAAAGTGGCTACAAGCTACAACTGTTCTTAGTTAATGTACAATTAGAAGTAGTTTATGTTCTTGCTAACTAGAAAAGGAAAGCAATAGAAATAGAATAAAAGAACTCAAAATAAGAAACATGATTTTTTTTTCTAAATAAATTACCGAACAAAATCTCCCTTCAGAGCAGGAGTTCCAGAGTACTGAATGCTGATTGCATCTCCATGAGTGGCCCACACTGAAAAAAGGCTCATTTTACTACAGCAACATGTTTATATGGCTTGGAAAAGTAGAACCAAGAACCTGGATTAATTAAAGGATTAAGTCCACTTTTGGTCCCTCAGCTATTGTGTTGGTCTCATTTTAACCCTCAACTACAAAACCGTCTAGTACCGGTACCCCAACTGTCAAAACCTTTCACTTTTAGCACCTGGGCGGGGGCAAGGCTGTTTTGACCGACGTTGAGCGGTTTTGACCACGCCACGCTGGCGTTGACCGCCACATAGGACGCTGGCTTGTATCTCAGCGACATGTGGGGCCCGTGCGTCACCCACTCATTCCCTCCCTCTCCTTCCTCCGGCTCCAGCAGCTCCAGTTGAGCACGGGCGCCTCGCCCTCGCCGCACATCCGCGGCGACAGGTTGAGCTGGGGCAGGCACCGAGGAGCACGACGAACTCCTGCATGTCGCTCAACGTAGCTGAGTTCGTAGGCGGCGGCGCGAGCTCACGAACAGCTGACAGCGGAGGATGAGGCTGGGAAGGCGCCGAACGCCGTGCTGCCGTGGCTCGTATGCCCGTCAGGTACCCAGCACCGATGCCATAGACCTCGGCGCCGACGCCGCTGCTCCTTTCATTCTCTCTTCTCATGCGGCTAAGCGAGCGGCGAGTGAGCGCGGCAGTTGCGCGAGGTCCACGCCGGCCGCGCGAGCCAGGTCCATGGTGGGCGGACGCGAGAGCTCCCCACGGGGCGGGGCGGGCGGACACGAAGAGCTCCCCGCTAGGCGGTGGCACGCGATGGCGAGCTCCCCGCGACCTCTGCGGGGCTGGATGGGTGGAGGCGGGCGATCTCTGCGGGGCCGAGCGAGGTCCGCGTAAGGCGACGGTGCGCGAGATCCGCGAGTGGCGGCGGCGAGTGGCTGTGCTAGGCGGCGGCGCAGGGCGACGCTATGGCCACGGCGCACGCGCGGATGCAAGCAAGTGCACGGGATCTGGATAACTCAGATAGAAACGACCATGTCCGTCCCAACCGTCAAGGAGCCGTAGACGTTGAGGTCCACGTTGGAGGCGGCGATGTCGGCATTCCAGAGCGTGAACGTGTCATTGCGCTGCAGCCGGAACGTGCGCTTGGTGTGCTCGCCCAGCCCGTACAGTGATGCCCAGCCGTCCGCCGGCAGCGCCGTGGTCAGCTCAGTACTGTCCCTGAACACCGGCCATGAGGTGAGGTGTGTCGAGGACGTCGCCGCTGGAGCGTCGGGAGACAGTGAAGCGGAACGGCGAGGCTTGCAGGGTGAAGGTCAGGTCGGACGTCGCCGCGGAGAGGACGTGGCTGTGCAGCGAGGGCGAGGCGCCCGTGCTCGACTGGAGCTGCTGGAGCCGAAGGAAGGAGAGGGAGGGAATGAGTGGGTGACGTACGGGCCCCACATGTCGCTGAGATGCAGGCCAACGTCCTACGTGGCGGTCAACGCCAGCGTGGCGTGGTCAAAACCGCTCAATGTCGGTCAAAACAGCCTTGCCCCCGCCCAGGTGCTAAAAGTGAGCGGTTTTGACAGTTGGAGTACTGGTACTAGACGATTTTATAGTTGAGGGTTAAAATTAAACCAACACAATAGTTGAGGGGCCAAAAGTGGACTTAATCCTTAAATGGCAAACATAATACTCACAAATTTTGTAGTTTGTATCAAAGGCTGGATGTTTGCTTATCGTATCACCAGCACCAAAAACTCCTATACGTTGAAGTTGGCTTTCCAGAATTTTTCGCCCAATCATGCTCTGTTCAGGAATGTCAGAGTTTAGATATACAAGTGAAAGTTGAACAGGAAACATAAAATAGATAGCAATAGTATGTCATAAAAGTATCAACAAGAGTGCAATGATTGTCTACTTTGCAAGTCCAGCCATGGGATTCTTATTGCATCAGTAGTGCTAGTATGTGTATGTTCCAGTAAAAAAGAAATGTATTACTAGTGTGTACTGTTTTAGAACAAACAATCTGAAAAACCAAACAAGTGTGCAACTTAACCATATGATCAATATCGAGCATGCAGTCCTAAAAGTACATCAATCCATATTCCATACACAGTGAAACAGTTTGGATATGATTCACAAATCAAAAGATGGTTTTGCAATTTCTACACCTGTCTGATAATATACACTAATGCTATAATAAACCATGAAGGGCCCTTAGACAAACAATAAATGTCATACGCTGGTTTGAAAAACTAGGTAACTGGATGACAAACGGTACTGCATAGACAGATTATTTGATAAACAACAAATGTTGAAGTACGAGTGAATGTGATAAAGTCTAGTAAGTACCTGAGTCACATTGGTGCGATCCAAACAATCTATACAATTTGTTCTTACAGTGCCAGTCTGCTCCTCAATTTTCTCTCCTTTATCATTTACAAGGAAGTACCTATCACATAACCATATTAGCAAGACCATGCGAAGGAAATGATAACAATATAACATCCAGAGATGTAAGAGACTTTGGAAACAAGGTATAAAGGAACATATCGCTAGATATACAAAAGAACTCACTAGACAAGATAACAAACCAATAACAGTATGACTAGTGATTGAATGCACTGCACTTTTCCTACTTAGCCAGAAACTCCGAATATGAAAAAGAAAATCTGCATGGTAGGTCCTTAATGCATCTGTACTATAGCCCCTAAAGGCTCCAACCAGTATTTCAGGTGGCAATGTGCAAGATTAGATAGGTTTAACTTCAAGCAGAAAAGTTCGTTCTGCGTCAGGCTGAATCAGAGTAAAATCTATACACCAACAGATTAAAGAACTAAATGATTCACTCAAGCGTGACTCGTGCAGTTGTTTTTTGCATGCCGATTTGATGCAATTGGTGGTTTTGTGTTGACCAAAGCACGATGATGATTGATTTGGCCCCAATATAACAAGGTTCCTTTGACAGACAACAAGAATGTACACAAATGATAAAGGGCATGGCATTGAATATACTGTATCAGCTAACAGCATACTTATGTTTCTGAAGATAGTCCTTGATCTGATCATACAGCTGAGAAAGGTGCTCAAAGTGAATATGACCACAAACTCGGTGGAAGTCAAAGTGCACATATCTGCAAGACATGGCATTCATACATGCTTAGCTCTAATACAACATGATAGGAGCAGTGAGCATTCAATCGTAGAGAAAGAAATTGTTACCTTATATCTTCACTAAGAATAGGTTCAATAGATTTTGCATATCTTTCACGGAGGCGACCCTCACCGCCACCCTGAAAGATAGAATGAAGCCAATAAGCAAGTAAAATACTCTATGCAGCATAAGCCGAAGGAATCACGGTATTACATTTCTACGAAACAAACATGCTCACTTGGGGAAAAAAGCATGCAAGTATGCAGAATGCATATCAGAGGTCAATCCTAATATGAAGAAAATAAATTCGATTTTGGAAAATAGACATCTTAAAGAGGAGCAAATCCCATACACAATGGTCATGGAGCATATACTTCTGACTTTCTTAATTTTGAAAATCATAGCACTAAAGTTAGTTCGAAGTCCAAGAGCAGTGCACTTACTGCATTGACAAGATCAACAGCTAAGACAGCTCCATATTTCTTTTGCAAATCATGGAAGTGCCTCTCAAGTACACGAGGCTGAACAACAGAAACAGATAGCATATAATTTCACGGAAAGGCATAGTGCCGTTAAAGCAACAAGGTAAAGAACAAAACAAGGAACGAAATAAGTGGGCTCACCGCCTCCTCTTGTCCAACAATGTCAAAACTAGGTTTGTATGTCAAATCAACAATCTGCTCCCACAAGAATGGCATAGAGCCTCGAACCTACAAAACATATAATTTGTTAAATATTTAGAAGATTTGTATAACAACAAACTAATTCAGAATGAAGCACAACTTAAAAGTGTGGGAACCAAAAAGCAATGTTATTGGTTGATTTTAGATTGTGTGAAGAAACTTACTTGTACATAGGATGCTGTAAACCCTTTTGACTGCATTATCTGCTCTGATTCAACGAAGTTTGCAGCATAACCCTCTGCATCAGCTCCTCGTCTCCACATTCGAGTACCTTAAAAAACCAGAGAGCTATTATTCAATCTACTGGAAATGAGACAGATGGAGTTTTTTAACATTAAATATTAATTGAAAAAAAGGAACAAAAAGAACAGTACAAGAGGAGGCTGGTAAAGGACCAGCCAACCACATATTGAACTAAAATGTTAATGAAATTTGAAAAATCTGAAAAACTTATTTTGATGACAACAAACCCTCACCTATCCTTCGTGTGCACCTACGTGCAATCAGGGTCACATTTACCTTCTCTGACCCAACTTCTGCTTGGATATTTTGAAAACCTGATGTTTAGTTAAGTTGCAGAAACTCACAGAAAACTTGAGTCAATATTTTAATAGAAAACATCTTATTTCTCCACAGATTTGCTATGGTACTCCGAAATTACTGTGGACCCATCCACTTAGATAGATCTAGATGGCTATGATTAACTATTACCTCCTAGGAAGTAAAGTTTTTAGTTCTTGAATGTGACATAAAAAAAGGAGACATGTTTAGAGGTGTGTGTGCTAACATGACTTGTTATGTCACAGATGTGTGACATGTTATGAAAAATGTATATGACAGTTGCACATTAGATGCATTATATATAGGTAACATTTTTCAACAGAAGTAGTTGTAACGTGATATCCTAAGGGGTTCTCGGAGTACCATAGCAAGGCCCATTTCTCTAGTAGTGAAATTGTTGAAAATGTCACGATATACCAAGGATACTGCCTTGAATTACTGGCAATAAGTACTGGTTCAGCTGTCAAGGGAGAAAGAAGAAATCAGAATACTTTGCAAATATCAGCACTTAAATCAAAACTGAAATGAGCTAAGGGCCTGTCCAGAAAGGGAATTTTTTATCGAACATGCAGGAGAGCTGCGTGTCATTATATTAAGAAAAAAGAATGGGAAAATTACTATACAATTTTAGGATTTCGTTCAAATGTGAGCTGAATGCTAAGGCAATCCGGTTACCAACCCCTCCTATCCAAACAGAATACCTAGAGATAGTCTTAATCTTACCTTGTTCTCAATTAGAGGTTCCAACAAATAAGCGTTCCATAGAAATCTTGGTTCCGCCTGAAAATAATTATGTTAATTGATCAGTAATAGTAGTTAGAAAAGCACAAGGCATCGTGGATTTAGTACAAGAAATTGTTAAGCACTGATGCTTAACTTGGCAGAGCTAGATTGCATATTTCTGCACTGTTCTTTGAGGTGATTACGAGAAGCTACTGTGAAAAATTCATAATCAACTTTACGAGGTTGAAATCAAATACATTTGATTTTTCTCACACCATAAAAGTTCTACCAAAAATTAAAACAGTCCTACAAATTATCCATGTTGAAGGAGAATGGCATTACTAAAGTCATTAGAATTACCAACAGCAGAATGGCACACTTTGAGATTAGGTGTTAAAGGAGAATGCAAGCTTTGTCACCAAAAGGAATAGTCAGATTATGTCACACTCTTTTTGTGTACCAATAAAAGTAGCAACTAGCAAAAGTAACCTGGTACTACATGTTCCAATAAAGCATAAGCAGCACTGCAGCAGAAGCTTGCAATGGAGAAAGATAAGGCCTCCATCTGTAAGAAAACTCTGGAATTAGAAATGGAGAACGAAAGAAACCTGTCTCCAAAGAGGAAGAGCTCTATACTCATCGCCTAGATCATGTAGCCTCTGTGCACTGGATTAGAACAGACAAAGACAAGCATGCAGTAAGCGATCAATACAGGGAAATATTCTAAATACTCAATTAATTGAGACGTGCATATTCTATTATAGCCTCTCTCTGCCTAGAAAAGCTAAAGCTGCTAAACGTTTCAAGTACAGAGCTCAAGAATGTAACTGAAAATGTTAAATAAGATACTCACGAAAGTGTTAGGTTGATATCATAGGAAAAGTGAAGGCCAACAGTCCTCTCTGCAGCATCCAGGAGTTCCAAGAATTCTGATTCCATTTTTTTCTGCCAATAGCATATTTGAATGTTCAAATGGAATATTGATGGACTTTGAAAGTCAATTCATAAAAGCAAGCAAAGCGCCGCAAACAACTTAGCTGAGAACAAAAGAAGCATATGTTAGACCTGCTTAGCAGAGGTGGTGTTATGTGCATTATTGCAGGGAAGAACTTTTAGCCCTGTCACTTTAAAAATTGCGTGTCCAAAGTAGGATCCCACACAATCACAATCCGTGACCACCACAAAATATGATCCAACTGCAAGTTTGAGCACTCCTATCACACCATATACTGTTTGAACTTTATGTTTTGTAGTGGGTCCACGTGACGGCAAGTCTTGAACTAGATTCATTGTTCCACTGGTCCGGCTAACTGACAAGTACAAGTCAGCAAGGCCATCAATTGGTTCAAATATATAAGAGTCAGGAAACTCCCAGAGTCTCAGTCTTGTATGGAGTTTTGACGAAGGGCTTGCATCAGTTGTCTCATCCATGGTGGGATAACCTGAAATAATTGGTGAAACTGATGATAATTAGCATCACAATGACATGGCTAGATTTTCATTTAGAGCACTGGTCAATTTGATATCACAAAATATCATTCATGTCAAGATACTTGGAACTAGGAGGTAAATATATTAAAAGAATTATAGTGAATACTTTTGACACATGACACCTCCATCTTTCATTACATCTAATCTAAAATAAGAAAAAAGATAAGATGTTGTAAAGGAAGTTATCAACATCTTGAGAAGACATGAACAGTTAGAGAATGATGGTTGCCCAATAGCCTGCCTTTTGTTTTCTTCCTTCTCTCCTTTGCACCAAATATTTCTCTCATTTCCATAATTATTGCTATATCTCTATATAGTCCCTTCCCTGTATCTATTTTTTTTTATCATTTCCATCTTCCTCCACATATTTTATCACATTGTAATATTGTATAGCATGTTTAGATTATGTTTGATGGAAATGGATAACAAGTAGTGCGTTAGGAGCCGCTATATACTTGTGGCGTGGTGTTTACCATATAAGAAGTTGCCAAGTATTTTTTGAAACTAAAATTTCTCTAGATTGTACAATAACAGAAGAAATGACAGGGCTGCAGTGGCAACCATCAGAGCAAGCCTTCTGGAACCTTGCAACACACATGAGCAGTAGGCCTTGAATAATCATCTTTCATGCAAAAAACGAAATAGACAGCTCGAACCTTGAGCGTGGGCAACTGTGAGATGGCCACCAACAGGAGCACAGCTGAACAATTGGTTTATATTTGAGCCCGGAAAATGAGGTCTAGCATGGTTGTGCTGAGATCGAAGGGACTTACGGCCCTGGATCCTTCTATTAACATGATTCACGCAATGCGGGCGGGATGCAAGAATGCATCCTGTAACTAGAGCAGCACAGCTGGCCATTGGCCCACAGTGTGATAGCTAGCACCAGGGATCTTGGGTGATGATGAATCAGAATGTCTTTGCGATCCTATATGTTGTTGGAGACGACAGATCAGGGCTGGCCGAGGAGAGAATCAAGCAATTGACTCAACAGCATGCGCTATTCGCCTTATTCAGAAATCAGAAACCCACGAAATCTGAGGCTATATCCACGGGGTCCGGTCGATCGCGGAGATCGACATGACGCTCGCACGCAATTTCTGTACGATTATTAAGCGGCGTGGAGTCCGCACCGCCCAATCGAATCTCCTACGGGCGGGCGATCCACGGCGCCCTCAACCCCCCAGCGCCCCAATGTTAAGCGATAAGTAATTCTAATCAAGTCTGTAGGAGAAACGAGGCGTACCACGGCGATAAGAAGGCCCCTCCTGCCTCAGCGGCTAGCTGGTTGTCAGGGATCGCTGATTCGCTGGGCGGTTTTGTCGGTGTTGTCGCCGGAGCGGGGCGGCGACTCTTCCCTCGAGGCCGGCGATGCAGAGGGTGAGGATGACAGGACCCACAGACAAGGTCATAAAAGGTGTGCCACGATTGTTTGCGGGAAGGTTGACTAGGCCCCACTCCGCCGCTCCTGCTCCTTCCCTCCCTCTCACCACGAGCGGGACGAGCCGAGGAGCGAGAGGCAGACCGGCGAGGTGCGAGGTCGAGGCACACGGCTGCGGGCTGCGGCACGTCACGCGGAGTCGCGGAGTCCTTGCGCTCGCCGCTCGCCGCTCGCCGCGGCACAACAAGCGGTGGTCTGGGTCTGGCGGTCGTGGCAGCGCGCGGGGCTCGCTCGGACCAGGCCCTAGTCGTCAGCCCACTAACACCACATACCCCTTGTATTTTGTCAACCCAATATCAGAGGCCCAAGAGCAAAGCTAGGCACTCAGGCTTCAGGCCTCACTCGGGCGTCGCCGTTAAGGGTGGGCGTTCGGTTCTCGCTTCGGTTTCGGTTGAGTTCCCTTGTGGATGAAATTCGGTTCCTAGATAATCGAAACCGATCAGTTCCAAAAAATTTAGAAATCAAGCATTTCGATTCTCGGTTATTTCAGGTCGGTTCCGGTTCTAACCGAACAAACCGAATTTTTTCAGAAGACCTCAAGACAACATTAAATATAAGTGTTCTAAGACAAATTTATGCAACACTATATTTATTTTTAATAATAATAATGTATAAGAAATCAATAGCAATATAGTAACACAAATATATAGCAGTTCAAATAGAAAACACTACACATAAACCAAATATAATCTTAAAAAATACAAGTAAGTGAAGTATAATTCATATAATTTGGTTCTTTAGGTTAACCGGGAGTAGGAACCGAATTTTTTTCGGTTATCGGTTCCTTAATATCAGGAATCGAATAAGGAACCTAATTTTTCGGTTCCGGTTCTTTCAGTTTCGGTTCTTTCGGTTTGGTTTTCGGTTCTCAGTTAAATTTGTCCAGGGCTAGTCACCGCGTCGGTCTCCCTCCGTCCCTCGCATCGCACGCACCAGCGCGCGACAACACGGAGGCGGCGAGGTCGCGACTCACGTTTGAAGAAGTTACCTAGCACAACTCGTTATAATGGTACGTGGCATTCAGATTATAAATGTATGTTCAACAATTAATCTTTTTATGACATTTTCATTTATATTTTGATCTTATTTATATACATAGCTTGACGAGGCGATGGAAGATGCAAATGCACCACCTCACTAGACAGTAAGTATTTTTTCATACCATCACGTGTATCGTACAATATTTTTAGCTTTTTAGAGGCCCTAGTCTTGAGTAAAAGCTGGCTCCGCCACTACGCTCGGTGGCTTTACGACGAGCTCAATAGCTACAATTTTTTCTTTTTCCATTGGTTCAGTGAATCTCTGTGTGCGTCGAGGAGACTCGGTTAGTTCGGTTATAACCCGAACCGAACTGAAATAACTAAAACTGAATTTCATCCGTTCCTGTTTTTTTAAAGGACCAATCGGTCTCTGATTCTCATAGAATCGAATTTGCTAAGAAACCGAGAAACCAAGCTGATCAGTTTTGGTTAACCGAATGTCCACCCCTAAGATCGACTGGTATAGAGGCTGGCGGACTGAATCAGTAGGACATTCCATCAGGCCCAATGCAATATCTCACTCATCCAATTGCCGAGGTCCAATATGTGGTCGCGCTCGTCAGCGGCAATGGCCAACCCAACGGTGTTATGTGCTATGCAGCCCTGGCCGCTCTGCACTGGCCGCCTTGCCCCATCCAGCCTTGCTCACTGATAGGTGGGGTCGACCGATGGGCAGCCCGTTGCAGCCTTGCTGGGCCTATTTGTTTTACCTACTGTACTGTCCTTTGGGGGGTTTTGGCATAAAAACTAGATTTTCTGGCTGTTGAATTTTTTCTATTAAATTTTGTAATAAAACTTTTAGTTTTTCAGCACATCAAAAGCCAAAAGCTACTTTCAATATGCTTTTTAGCTTTTAGTTTATTTCATCAGACGTCAACTTTCTTGCTTTTTAAAAGTCAGCTCAACGACTACAGGTTTGTTTTAACTTATGACAGAAGCAAGTGAAAAGCTAAAACAAATAGGTCCTTAGCAGTGTTGTCCTAATGTTAGATGGTAAACAGTCGGCGACCCTTTGGTTAGTGTTTAAGCCGTTTAGATGGTGTTTAAATGGAGGTAAACGATGATAAACGCTTTTGTATAGTAACACCATAATATACATATTCATTTATGTAAAAGTCAAATGTGTTAGAAAGTATACATATATATGTAAAAAACACTACCACAGAAAACTTAACCGAGGCGGGTAAAACCGATTAACCGAATCGGGTAAGCCAACCGCCTCCGTCAAAAGGTCACGGTTAATCGGGCCTTAGGGCCTACCGCCTTGGTTAATCGATTAACCGAGACGGTCATATTAATGTGCCCGCCTTCGTTAATCCCATTAACCGAGGTTGTTGCGTTAGGATGCCCGCCTCCGTTAATGTTCTCCAGAAAACCAAAAAAACTTACGCCTTTAGATAATCGAACCCACAACTTGGTGCTCAACACTATACTACCATGTCTTTACTACTGCACCGAACACTCTTTCATGTCTATATATAATATGCAATCTTTTTATATTAATATTTTATAATCTTATATTAGATACTTTAGCTATTAAATGAACTCAAATAAAAAAAAACTTTTAACTACAAAGTTTTAAATCTTATGAAGTACTGTAACTTTGGTATTGAATGTATGGAAACAGCTTGAAAAATTCAAAAATTGAGTCTCTTAACATGAGAATTTTAAACACATATTTAAGACTCTAGGTGACTTTAAATTAAAAACTTGTCAATATCAAACATGTAGACCAGGTCAGCCACTAGAACTTTGGTATTAACTATGTGAACATTTAAGATCGTTTAGGAATTTGAAATTTTAAATTTTAAAATTTGTAACATTTGAACACATATTTGGGACTCTAAACATCTTTAAATTAAAAACTTTTCAACTACAAAAACGTAGATTCTATTGAGAAGTATAACTTTTGTATAGACCATGTGAACATCCAAGATCGTTTGATAATTTTAAATTTTAAATTTTAAAATCTGTGCACTTACAACAATATTTTGGGATCCTAAACAGTTTGAAATAAAAAAACTTTTCAACTATAAATTTGTAGATCTCGTCGAGAGCTATAATTTTGATATAAAGTTTGTCTTCATCCATGTAACACCCTAAAATTTGAATTTTTGGAAATAGAGCTAAAATGATTTAATTTGGAATTTATGCGCTCAGGAAAATATAGAAAAAAAATCATTAATTTCAATTTTATTATAAGGTTTAGAAACATGTTTGAGCATACATGCCCTTACATTTGATTTATTTGGTTGAGTGGTTTTGATTTAAAATTTAAAATGGTTTAAATTGCTTTTGCAAATAAAATTGAAAATGGCTTTGAAGTAAAAGAAAAGAAAGAAAAGAAAATTTAAAGATAAAAGAATTTAAAAGGTTATAAAATTTATTTTTGAAAAACTTAACAAAATTTGCTCATTTTTGTTTGAATTGAAAAGTGTATTTGAAACCCTATTCAAATTTGATTTGGATCATATTTGAATGAGATTTTGAAATAGGAAAAGAAATTGCAAAGGAATTAAAATTCTCCCTTTCTTTTATTAGGCCCGAAGGCCAGCTTCTTTTTTTTCTTTCCGTGGCCACCTCTGCCTGGCGTGCAATTCATTGCTGTGTGAGAGCCCTCTTTCCCTCTCTCTCACTGCCCAAGTCACGTCTGGCTACGGCCCAACAGGACGGCCCGCCAGCACGCCTCCTCTTTCTCTGTCTCAGGTAGCCGGCCCCTCACTCGCCGACGCTGATAGGTGGGACCACCCTGTCAGCTCCATCCCCTCCACCCGTTCGTGACCCGCTCGAACTCCGTCGTCGTCGCCGCCGCCAGGAATCCGTGTTGCCCCCGCCCCGCGTCGTTGTCTTGCGCCTCAAGTAGCCGGTTTCATAAATACCGAGCCCCCGCACTCCACCGCTTCCAATCCCATGCCCTAGAGCAAGCCCCCGCCTCGCCGTGACGCCGAGCCGCCGCCATTGCCGTCCGTTCGCCGCGCGCTGCGCTGCCCTCCGTCGCTCCACGCCGAGGTAAATTATCCAAATGAGTTCGCCGTCGTCTCCTTTAGCTTTCCGTGCCCTATGTTCGTCGAACGGTGGACCGTAGGCTTAAGTTCGCCAAGCGCCGCCGATCTGGCCATGGCACCGCTGCATATGAGCTCGCCGCCGGCCACCTACACCGCTTGATCCAATCTTGGCCGCCCGCATCTAATCCGACGACCCAAGTGCAAGGATACCCCTTCGCTGGCGTTTTTGCAAAAATCCCCTTATAATTAATTGAATGTTAACCCATGATCCAAAGCGTAATTACATATTACGTTTTCTTCTTTGAAAAGTGTAGTTTCTTCGACTTAGATCTAAAATACGTTTTTATTTATTTACAGATTTGCCACTAATTTTGTTTTAGCCATAACTTCTCCGTTTAACTCCGATTTGATCCGTTCAACTTGCGCTAGGTTCGTAATTTCATAATCTACATGTTCATACTACTGTTAGATATATTTTTAACTTTTAAAATTTGAGGTTAGATTTAATCTATTATTTTAATAAAGGAAATCCTGGTTAATTCATATCTTCTATGTTTTAGCTCTGATTTGACCTGTTCAAGTTGCGTTAGATTCATAGCGACGAGATCTACGCGTTAGTGACATTATTTACCATATTGCTATTTCTAAAATTTCATGGTTTAAATCATATCTTGATTAATAATTATGCAACTGGAAGTTTTTTAAATAGAATATGAATTGTTTTACTTTAGTTTTATAAATCAAATCTGAATTTGATTTGATTCAATTTATAATATTTATAAAATATCTTATATATATGAATCTATATAGTTAAAATAAATGAAGTCTATAGTTTTCTTTTTCACGTATAAAGCAAATCTATCGGTAGATGTATCTTTTTAACCGTAGCTCCGATTAGCGTGCCTCTCGCGTCTGTGTGTTCATAGCGATGCGTAGAATCATGTTTCAAACTCTTTTACTTATTTTTCTATGATTGGTGTACTGTTCTAATTTAGATTTATTGTTTGCTTCGTGTATAATTGCATGGATGCTTGTGTGGTGCTTTAAGATCTTGTCCAGTCGGTGAGTTATACGTGGTGAATCAAGAAGCAGATCTTTGAAGTTTTGGACTTAAAGAATGATCTAAGTTTAAGACAAGTATAGCATGGGATCTTCCTTGTTGTCCTATACACATTTAATCATTTAATTCATTCTGCATGTGTCTACCTTGACTACCACTAAGAATTTTCTAGTGCTTTGTTACCTTGTGCCTTGATACCTATGGGGTATTGCATTGGGTAGTATGATGCTAGTGCTCAACTACAACCATGATCTTGTAACTTCACTAATGGTATATATAATAAACAATTAAAAGATGCTTTTTAGCAACATGGAATCAGGGGCTAGAGCATTGGGCTATTTTATGGTGCTCTAGATTGCTCTCCCTAAGGACTTATCTGTAAGTGATCATCCAGGAGTTACAGTACAATTGTGAGGGCTTTATGGCTCTGGCTTTAGCTCCGTATGAGGACCTTTTTTGGCTTGTTAGTGGTTACCTTTATAGCGCAAGAGGAGCTCCGATTTGTATGATCTCGGCCTGCCAATAGGGTGCACTTTGATTTCTTAGTATTTTGTTAGTCACCCCTTGGAGGGGGGGGCTCATGCTTATTGATGAGGAAACCTTAGCATCCCTAACCTGTTAGACGAACCTTTGAAAAGCTTCATAGTGAACCCTGTCGACCTTCCTTGGTAGTGGGTCAAGAGGCTCGCGACCTTGGGTGAAAGGGTAAATCACGACTCACAGTGAAAGTGTACAACCTCTACAGAGTGTAAAACTGGTATATCAGCTATGCTCACGGTCATGAGCGGCCTTGGAACCCTTACGAAATAGATGATGAACACTGATGATGAGGGTGATAAAGATGCTCATTAATGGTTAATTATTTATGCTATTCATTATTCATGTTTACCTGATCATGTGTTTATATGGGCTTGTGAATAAATTTGTTGGCACCCAATTGCTAAAAGATGATTCATTAAAAGCTAATCGCAGTTAAACCAGTATCAATCTTTTTGGGCCTCATGAACCCCATGTTATATTTGTTGAGTACGACATGTACTTACGCTTGCTTTATTTTTCAATTATTTGGATAAAAATCTCGGATGGATACCAGATTGCTAGAGTTTGAAGGAATTAGGCTTGTGATCAACTAGTCAGTTGTCCCTGTGGAATTAGAGTCTTCATCCGAAGATTGGAGTTGTCTTTCCGCTGTTTGCTATCTAAGGTTATATTCCTCATACTAAGTATGCTATATATTGAGCATTGTCTTTTGGTATTTCCCTTATTTGTAGCTATATGTGATATTTGACTTTCTGGACTCACATATGGTGTGTATCTGGTTTTGTTCTTAAAATCGAGTGCTACAATCCAAGTTCATATAAAAAAGTTATGGATTATTTTTTTTATTGCAATCATTAACCGAGACGGACATCTTAAGACGACCGTCTCCGTAAATCGATTTACGAAGACGGTTGCCTTAAGCAGTGGTTGTGTTAGAATGCCCGTCTTCGTTAATGATTAACCGAGACGGTTGCGTTATAATACCCACCGGATTATCCATATAAAATTTGAGGACAATACATATCCACTGGATTTTACCAATTTCATATCCTTTCATGCATTTGCACACAACATATATAGATGAAGCGAATTGCAAGCTAGTAGAATCGAGAGTCATGAAGTTATTCGCATCGCATGGATGGTCCTTCATTTACCATCTTGGACTTTAGTTCGAACCTATAATAAGTTTTAATTATGGACATGCTACTATAATAAGTTTGAACCGATGCTTCTTCTTTTTAGAAGAAGGCTGAAGCCGAAAAATTTTCATTATCTAAAAAAATTGTATATACCTACTACGGTGTATATACTATTTTTGCTACAAATTATTGGGTATTTCCATTTCCCAGGAATGCATCAACCGTAGATGAGCTCCTGTTTTTGGCAGGCAGCGACCGTGGCGGCCGCCAAACTGTTGTCGTCTCTCGTCAGTAAGTGCGAACACGCGGCGTGACTAAGGCGGTGTTCGGATCCAGGACTAAAGTTTAGAAGGTATCACATAGATGTGTCGCATAGGGTGTTTGGATACTAATAAAAAAAACAAATTAAAGAATTCATTGGTAATCCGCGAGACGAATTTATTAAGCCTAATTAATCCGTCATGGCATATGTTTACTGTAGCACCACGTTGTCAGATCATTGACTAATTAGACTTAAAAATTTCGTCTCGCAAAATAATTTCAATCTATGCATATAGTTTCGTAATTAGTCTATATTTAATACTCTATGCATGTATCAAACATCCGATAAGACAGTGATTAAACAGCGATTAAATTCTAGGAGGAACCAAAACAGCCCCTAATGCCGACATGGCGCACGGTCGGGATCGGAGACACCTGTACGCCAGTTGGACGGCCGACGGATGTGGGAGTACGTGCGGCCAAGCATCCGACGGCCAGGCGTCGAGTCTGCTACCTGTACGCAGTACTCGTACGCATGCACCGCATCCTGCTCCAGGCGTGTACTCGTATGCGTCGTACACCAACGTACCCCTGGGCCCTGGCAGAGCAGAGACAAGCAACTGCAGATTCCAGACTACAGGTGGGTCTGCAGACACCCAGTGCAGCCTGGCTGCCCGTCACCACTCATCAGGATATTCAATCTGTGTTGATCCACGGCATCAGCGGCTTGAGAAAAAAAGCCAGACTACAGGTGGGTCTGCACTGCAGTCTGCACTCCCTCTGGCTCTGACTCCGAGTGCCCAGTGTCACCACTCATCAGGCCTCCTTCACGACTAAAGATGGCAACGGCCCCCCGATACCCGATACCTGACAGGTATTTGATTTATTAGGGAGCAGGGGATATGATCATCTTTTCTCATGGCGGCAGAATCCATACCCGATGGGTATCAGCAGCGGCTTGAGAAAAAAAGCCTGAGATGCTGCCAGATCGGCGAAGAAGGTTCCATGAGCTGGCTCTGCAGACTGCAGTCTGCACTCCCTCTGGCTCTGACTCCGAGTGCCCAGTGTCCACACGAGTACTCTGTGCTCCTAGCCTCCTCCTCCACGACGACACACGTGAAGAAGAAACGCGGGCCGCCCCTCCCGCCGCCGTGCTCTGCTGCTGGGCCCCAGCCCGCATGCCAGATCTGCCGTACACTGTTCCAGCACCAGCAGCCAGTCCTATAGCATAGTACCGGTCCAGTCCTCAACAGCAGTCACGCATCCGATACTCTGCCTGCCTGCCTTATCAGCAGCCAGCCCAGCGGTCGAGCTCAGCAGCAGTCAGCGACGCCAGCACCCAGCATAGCAGCGAGCCAAGCACGCCAGCCTCAGGAGCGCGAGCCCCTCAGCGCGAGGCGCGAGGCGGGAGGCGGGAGCCATACGCATACGCCTTATTCCCATCGCGCGAACACAACAGCGCAGCGCAAGAGCGCGATGGATGACGACGACGACTTCACCTTCCCCACCGTTGCCGCCGCCGCGCGGGGGCCGCCGACGGCGCCACAAAGGCAGCTCGGCCTCGACGAAGACACGGCGGTGCCGCCGCACCTGCTCCAGCTCCCTGATGCGCTCCCCAACCTCGCCGCGGGGGCCTCCCCTCTGTGGCCGTTCGCGGGCTCCGTTCCCAAGACGACGACGACCACAGCGCTGCCGTCGTCCCCGACCGTGACGGCGGACGACGAACAAGAGCGCAGCGCCGTGGCAGAGGAGGAGAGCCATCCTGTCGCCGCTGACGAGGACAGGATGGACCTGCTGTGGGAGGGCACACCCACCACCACCACCAGGTCCATCGCGACAGCGCCGGAGCCGGAGCCAAGGAGCGTCGCTGGCCACGCGGGGCCGCCACCACCACCGAAGCAGCGCGCCGCGGCGGCCGCCGACGCGGAGAGGATGGACAAGCTGTGGGAGAGCTTCAACGAGGACCTCGTCCTGCGGCACCGGGACCGAGCGCGCCGCTCCAAGTCCGCCGCCGGCATCAACATCAAGGTGTCGCGGGCAGCAGCGGGAGGTCCGGACGACCCGGCTGACGACGACGACCGCTGGTACCTCTGCAACTACGACTCGCCGTCGTCGGGCGCCGACGACGACGAGTCGTCCGACCAGGAGACGTCGGCGTCGTCCCCTGCGGAGCAGCGGCGCGGGTACGGGTGCGCGCCTACGATGCTGCGCGCGTCGTCGCGCGCCGGTGGGGCGGGCCAGTTCTGCGCCGGCAGCAGCCCCCGCGCCCGCCGACGACGGCGCGGACGCGGGGCGGCGGCAGGGTGGGCGCTCCTGCTCAGGCTGTTCCGGAGGCTCTTCGCCGTCGACAAGACGGCGCCGTCGTCGTCGTCCCATAGCCACAGCAGCCTCTACGTGCCCTGATCATGACCGCTCACTTGATTTCCTGCTAGTCTCCACTGATTTGCAGATTTTTTTTACGTACGTACGGCAATTACAGTTCCTCTTTTTCTTTTTTACGTCAACAAAAACACCCGCTAGCTAGATGCATGGTTAGTTAAACCAAGTGCTTGTACCTGTTCAGCTGTTCCTCTCCGTGAAACAAGAACAGAGTAGGGTTTAGTAAATATCTACAGTGAATCTGATGCATGTATTTGTGCTCCTTGTATGTATGATCTTTTTTTGATGAGGTGCTGTCATGGCACATTGGCATGTGTGAGAGAGCGTGCCGTGAGCAGATCCGTGCAACTGTAGATAAGATGTGTGTGGTGATTAAAGGGAAAGATAGCATTCCTAATCATTTAGTACAAAACAAAGCAGCAGCTACCAGCAGCATTGTTCTGTGGCATAAACAAAGTGCCACCCTTTGTCTCAATACTAAATAAATATATAATGCACCAAAGGAGCGAGAAAAGAAACTGTTTGTGTGCGATGAATGAATGATTCGCATGCTGCACTAGAGTGGGAAAGAGGAGGCCGGGGAGGACAGCGGACAGCCAACGACCGGCGTGATTGCGACGGCCGAGCTGTAGGTACGTTTAATTCTACGGCGCCAGCGGCCGGCCAAGCCAGCGCGACGCAAGCCTGCCTGTGAATGATTTCGCCATCACCAAGCGCAAGCGGTGGGCCGCCGCCAGCCGGCGACGACAGCACACAGCAGGGCCATCAGTGCGTGTTCATTAGTGGGATTATTTTCTGACGGCGCGCTTTGCCGCCACCAGTCAAAGTGCTGCTACATGGAAGCACGGAAGAAGAGCTACCTAAGGCGATGCTGCTTCATTTGTTGCGACAGTCCGGCTCCAGTAGAAGTAGTAGAATAGATACCGTATAGATAGTAGGCATCCCAGGAAATTCTAGCAGGCCTTACAGTTTTCTACTACTACCTATACCTTGCAATCCCTGCCATTCGTCGTTTTGATATCTCCCAAATGTCAACAACGTTTGTGGCGAGAATTTTAGCGCAAGGCCTAAGACATGTCCATCAAGAATCTTCATTCAGAAACCCTCGTCTAGATCAAATGGTGCGTATGGGCCAAAGCCAAAACGCATGGGCCACACACACACCATGTGATTCTTGTCCAGAAATGATGTTAGGAGAGTGCACCTGAGCATACCATTTACTCACGAGAAGACCCGAGAGCTAAGCATTTCCCGGGTGCAGATTCAGAGTGCATCACTGTCACGGACGCCGTACTGATAACAGGGGACCAGAGGAGTCAGAAAGGTACAGCACTACGGCAGTAGCTGAGATCTCAACGATCTGGTCGAGTCCAGCGGATTGGATTGCTCACCGATTCAGACAATTCGGTATGCTCTCAAGTCTCAGCAAACGAGCGAGCTCACCTGTAGAATTTATCATCACCTTTTAATTTGAGTCTGGCAGAGGCCGACTGAAAAGGTTCGCCTGGCTACATAAATCGGACCCAAGTAATGTCCGCTACATCAAAATTTTAGCAAAAGATACAAAGAACCAGTGGGTAGATCTTGTGTTCCTGCAATCCTGAAATTGCTGTGTGCTGCTGCGCCTCATCATTACTTAAGATGCCCAGCTCGAGCTTTGAGCAGGGGCATTGCTGCCTTGCTGGTGCAAAGCTCCTCAGTCTCCTACAAAACACATGCATCTTACATTTTAGGCTTCGATTAGTTGTGTATCAAGGGAAGCACTGCTGAATACAGGGGCTTCGAGATGTAGGATCTTGAGCGATACATACCTTGGTCACAGTTCATCTTTAACAGACTCTGATGATGTTATTGTTTCTTCATCCTCCATGCCAACAGTTTCAACTGCACCATCCTCTACAGAGGTTTCACCTGGTTTGGAGCCTTTGTTCTTTTTTATGAAATCAATGATGTCCGCAGTTGTCCTCCCGCCTTCATATGAAAGGAGGTTTCCAGCAGATGAGTAGAAGTACACGGTTCGATAGCCCTCAACTGCGGAATCCGATGGTATGTCGTTGGTGGTGCCATCCTGCAAAGGCAAAGGAATTTAGACCGATGAATATACACTATCTAACCAAACAAAACAATGCCAACCTGTGCTTCAGGCATGAAATTGATTTTGAATATGGCAAAAGGATCCTTTGATATTCAGCAGTATCATCTTAAGGTTCTAGACCCTAAAATGAAATCTAATCTTTAAGGTTTCTTAAATTCATTCTTAATAACATATCTTCTCATTGTTCTACAGGATACAGCTGAAATTGCAAAATGGCTGCACAAGATGCACAATAAAGCATGCTGATTGTAAATATATATATGAAATGGAAGCAAAGCAATGATGAAAACACGGTTAAATCAGCATCATGTTGCACATTACCATCTTAGCAATGATCACATCTTCATCTTTCTCCAAAGAAACTGCAACTTCATCCAAGACTGGGGCCAGCTTCTGACAATGGCCACACCATGGCGCATAAAACTCAAAGCAGCACTACAGAAAAATATACCAATTACGGATAGCATCCCTTATTAGTAAAAGACTTGACTATGCAAACCACAACTTCCTTATGAAACCAGTTGTAAAGGACAAACCATTTTTTCCAGAGTTGAAAACCACATCATTAATACTATTGGCAACAACAACCTTAACAGGTTTGTCGTTAACCGCTGGAATCGGATCTGACTTAATGTGTGGCAATAAGGTACCATCCTACACGAACAAAAAGTCAAAGACAGGTTAAGAGAAACTGAAAATAAGGTACCATCCTACATGAACAAAAAGCCAAAGACAGGTTAAGAGAAACTAAAAAATAAGGTACCATCCTACATGAACAAACCTCCGTAGAATCATGGGGAAGAAATTGTTAGCTAATCTACTGCCACCTTGTGTGAACACAGCAGAGGAATGCGGCGCCGACTTAGCTGCCTGCTGTGTGTGAACACAGCAAGGGAAGGCGGCGCCGACTTTGCCCCCTGCTGTGATACAGTAGCCGCTGCAGGTGCAGGCGCCGCACGGCTCACCTGTAGCACTGTAGGAACAGGCAGTGGCCGGCGCAGAGTCAGCCCTGTCAGGTTATCTAGTTACTGTGCCAGCTTGGGCGCTGCACATGGACTAGATAGTTAGAGTTGTATAAATAGACATGTATGGCAACTCAGTAAAGAGAGCTCAGATTTGCCATCACACAGACAGGGCTTCGGCCAACGCTGTTGTCTTGTATTGTGCGTGCTTGCTCTGTTCTCCCTTCTTCTTCTAGCTCGATCCGTAGTGTGTGGGTACGGACAACGCCGGTACGTGGTCTGCACGGCTAGTGTGTGCTCGGCGAGACCCTCAAGTGCTCCACTCGCCTGAGCCGGTGCTCGGCAAGATCGGCTGGAGTGGTTCACTGTCGTGAGCCGGAGATCATGTGAGACCAACGGAGTGGTCTGGGAGACTAGTAGTCTGGGAGACTAGTGGTCTGGGGCTAGTGGTCTGGGAGACTAGTGGTCTGGGGCCAGTGGTTTGGGAGACGAGTGGTCTGGGAGGCTAACTGTGGGCCAACAAGTGGTATCAGAGCCGTACAAGAGCCGTCGTCATTCTAACCGATGGCGATGACAGGCGGTTTGGAGTTGGGCGACGGCAGTGGCACTGTCGTGGCTGCCCAACCACTACCGGAGGTAGTTGTCTGCATGGTGCGGAAGGTCAGCGGCACCACTTGGCCGACGCTGACTTGCACTAACTATGGAGAGTGGTCGGTGACCATGAAGGTCAAGCTCAGAGCCCGACGGCTCTGGAATGCTATTGACAAGGGCACCAAGCGTGGAAGAAGACGATATGTCGGCGTTGGAGGCTATCCTCGCTCTTTGTCTGCGGTGGAGTATAGGGAACCGTTGGGGACGAAGAGCTCGGCTAAGGAGGCGTGGGAGGCCATTATGCGCGATCGCGCGTTGGTTCCGACCGCGCAAAGAAGGCAACGCCCGGCTTACGAAAGCGGCGAGTACGCAAACCTCAAGTTCAAGGATGGTGAAATGGTGGAGGACTTCTCCCTCCGCTGCGAGACGCTCATCGCAAAAGTGAAGAGCCACGGCGTCACCATCAACGAAGAGGAGGCGGTTTCAAGTTCCTCCACTCCATGCCGGCAAAGTACATCCAGATCGCTCTCTCCATAGAGCGATCTTTGGACTTGTCCACCCTCACCATCGAGGATGTGGCAGGCCGTCTGAGGCGGTGGATGGCGCGCCGAGCGGCGGCGGCAACAAGAGCGAAGGACGGCGGGAAACTCCTGGCGGCGGAAGAGAGAGGGCTGCTCGGCGAAACTCGGGAAGGCGGCCTCCTCCAATCGCGGTGGCAGCGGCAAACATCGCGGCGAGGGCTTCTTCGGAGAAGAAGCAAATCGACTCAACGCACGCCGGTGTTGCGGGAAGATGGGCCATTGGGCGCGGAGTGCCCAAATCGCAAGAAGGAAAAGAAGGCTCAGCTCACCTAGCGAAAGCCGATGATGAGGATGAGCCTACTATCCTTATATGGCGACGTCGCGTACCTCGCACTGACGCCGAGGCCATTTAGAGGGAAGAGGCGGCGACGGTGGAAGGATCTAGCAAGGCCACGAAGACCGTCAACCTCGACGAACCACGCGCCCAAGTCCATCTTGGGCATGTGGGCGTCGACCGAGAGCAACGGTGGTATCTCGGACTCGGTGCCGGTAACCACATGACGGGCTCAAGGACTCCTTCTCCGAGCTCGACGCGGCGATGTTATGAATGACGGTGAAGTTTGGTGATGGTTCAAGGGTGGCTATCCAAGAGGCGCGGCACCATCATCTTGAGATGCGAATGGGGAGCACGCGCGCTAACGGATGTATACTACATCCCGCGGTGCGTTCAAACATCATCGGCATTGGTCATTTGGATGAGCGCTGTAGCGAGGTTCGATCAAGGACGGCGTTCGAGGATCGAGAGACCGGAGCGGCGACTTTCGCCAAGGTGAAGAGGTCCTGAACCGGTTGTACTGCTTTCGACCGAAGGTAGAAGCGGCCGGTTTACTGGCGGCAAGACACTCGAGGAACCGTGGATGTGGCATGCCCGGTTCGGACATCTCGGCCGACGCCGCTTTGGTCGGTGGGGAAGATGGTCCGAGGGCTACCCCACATCAAACACGGAGGCGTATGTGTGATACCGGGTGGGCGGGAAGAAGAGGAGGCTACCTTTCCCAAAGGCGGCCAAGTATCGCGCTGAAGGAAGCTCTCGAGCTAGTTCACGGCGACCTCTGCGGGCCGATCACGCTGCTACATGCGGTGGTCGGCGGTACTTCCTCCTACTCATGGACGATTGCGATCGCTACATGTGTCGCAACTCCGACGAAGCAAGGACGAAGTGGCGGTGGCGATCAAGAAGTTCAAGACGCGCGGAGGCCGAGAGCGGCAAGAAGCTCCGTGGTACCGAGGATCGATCGGGGTGGTGAATTCACCGGTGGAGAGTTGCTACCATCGCGCGGATCAAGGTGTGGGGCAACATCACACCGCGCCATACTCGCCAAAAGCAGAATGGCGTGGTGGAGCGACGGAAACGAGAAAGTGGTCGGCATGGCCCGATCCATGATGAAGGCCAAAGGATGCCGGCAAAGTTACGGGAGAGGCGGTGACCGCGGCGGTGTTCATCCTCAACCGCGCTCCAACCAAAGCCCTAACGGGCAAGACACCGTTCGAAGCACTGCATGGGAGCAAGCCGAAGCGTGTCATTCCTCCGGACATTCGGTTGCATCGGCCACGTCGGGAAGACGGGCCGAACCTCACCAAGCTAGAGGGAGGAGCACACCCATGGTGTTCTGGGCTCTGCGGAGGGTACCAAGGCGCGTCGCGGCTCTATGACCTCACGCGGAGACAAGGTGGTATCTCGCGCGACGTTGTGTTCAACGAGGAGGCGCTTTGGGACCGGCACAGTCCGAGCACGGGGGAAGCGGGAGGCTTCACCAACACCTTCGTCGTCGAGCACTTGGTCATCCACGGCGGTGGAGACGCTGCGGAACAGTGCCACGACTCGGGAGGAGCGCCGAGCATTCGGCGGTGAGTAGAAGTCGAGCACCACTGGGCAAATGCCGAGCACTTCAAGAGGGATGCCGAGCACTCGGGAGGAGTGTCGAGCACTCCGGAGGAATGCCGAGCACGCCAGAGTGGAGCAGGAGGAGTTCTCTGATGGCGGCGACCACTTGAGGACGGGTACCGAGCACTCCCGTGGCGGAGCCAAGGCGTCTTCTTCGTGGTTCCGACCACTCCAAGATCGGTGGACACTCCTACGGTGTGGCGAACACTGCGCAGAGTTATGACGAAGCGATCCGAAGCGATGCTGCGAAAGCACCAGGTGCTATGCGGGGCACTCGGCGGAAGAAGGAACTTCATCACCCCGATCGAAGTTCGCCTCACCTCCAAGTGACATCACCGAGTTCGTGGGCGCCTACCACGAAGGTGAGGAGTTGAGGTTCGCGCAGTCGGGCGACATCGTCGGCGGCACAGTCCCTTAGGTATGGCGGGTAGGTCGCTCAACGACGCAGAGCCGCTACTCGTCGGTCTGCAGAGAACCACCACGTTCACGCTAGCCGATAGCGCGATGGAAGCTGGCGGCGCAACGGCAATGGAGGAGATGAAGGCGATCAAGAAAAATGAGACTTGGCGCTCGTCGATCCACCTCGAGGATGCCGTCCGATCAGCCTAAAGTGGGTGTACAAAGTCAAAGGGACGAGCTCGGCGCCATTGTCAAGTACAAAGGCGCGCCTCGTCGCCCGAGGCTTTGTCAAAGACGAGGGCATCGACTTCGAGGAGGTCTTTGCACCGAAGAGCGCGCATGGAGTCGGTCCGTTTGCTACTTGCTTTGGCGGCGAAAAAAGGATGGCGCGTCCATCACTTGGACGTTAAATCGGCCTTCCTCAACGGGCGAAGTGGCGGAACGGTCTTCGTCGGGCAACCTCCGTGGTTATTTGTCAAGGGAGAGGAGCACAGGTGCTCCGATCGCGCAAAGCGCTCTCACGGCTGCGGCAAGCCTCTCGAGCATGGAATGCCAAGTTTGACACCACGCTGGGCGAGCTTGGGTTTCAGAGGTGCGCAACCGAGCACGCGCTCTACACGTGACGACGGGGGAAGGAAGAACTCGTGGTCGGCGTGTATGTGGATGACTTAATCGTCACCGGCGCGCGCACGGAGGATATCAACAGCTTCAAGTGAGAGATGGCAGCTCGTTTCCGAATGAGCGATCTCGGCGCTCTCTCCTACTACCTCGGCATCGAGATGAGACAAGGGAAGGAGGAACTCACGCTCGGACAAAGCGCGTATGCCTCCAAGCTGTTGGAGAGGAGCGGCATGGTGGAGTGCAAGCCATGCGTGACTCCGATGGAGGAGCGGCTGAAGCTGACGAAGGACAGCACCACGGCGAAAGTAGATGCAACACTCTACAGCAGCATCGTCGGCGGTCTGCGCTACCTAGTCCACACAAGGCCGGACATTGCGTTCGCCGTGGGCTACGTCAGTCGCTTCATGGAGTATCCCAGAGAGGATCACTGGGCTGCGCGAAAGCGGCTACTACGCTACGTCAAGGGGACGGTGAATCATGGAATCATCTTCCCAAAGACCGGGGAAGTAGGTCTGCAGCTCATGGTGTTGGCGCCGATGCGAGACATGGCGGGGACATCGACGGACGACGGAGCACCTCGGTGTACTCGTCTTCCTCGGGTCACCCCAATTTCAT